CAATCAAGATTATACATTGTGCATGTAGTAAAATCCAATACTCAAATATTCTCAAGAAAACAAAGGGAAAAATTTCACATACATTCTTATATTATTATTTTTTATTGCTAAAGTTGAATTCGATAAAAAAAATTATAGAAAAAATATACGCGAGTGAGTAAAAAAATAGTTTCAAGCCTAACCCGAGGGATGGACTGAAAAGTTCTGAACGTACTACGAAAAGGCTGAAAAGATTTGAACCTACTAAGAAGAAGAGGGCTGTAAAGCTTTGAATCTACCACCTGGGGGAAAGTTAAAAAGTTTTGAGCCTACCGGAGAGGAGGTGAATGAGTTAGTCATACTAACAATAAGATTTAGAAGAAAAAACGGTAAACAGTTGTTGATTTTTTTTTTTTTTTTTTGAAAAAAATTCTTTAACTATTGTAGCCTCTAGATACATTCGTGAATATTCGTACACGATCATAAACACAAAAATAAACTATATTCGTAAATTTTATAACTGGCTCAAAAGGTAACGGTAATCAAAAGCATTCGAAAAATAATCAACCCTTCACCAATCTTGCGTTACAATTAAAATTTATTACTTTTATACATGCATTCTATAACTATATATAATATATACATATATTTGCTACTATCTGTGAATTTTTCTTATCGTCTAAGAGAACATTTGTACAAACGTAATACTTATTTTTACGTCTAAATTTGTTCTATTATTTTGCTATTGACTTTTAATACAATTATTCAAACAATAACAGGAACGTATTAAAAAATTGATCTTTTTAATAATAATTTTGAAATCTTTTATTATAAACTGTTTTGTTCATTACTTATAATCGAAATTACGTCTGGAATTTTTTTTTACTGTAATAAAACTCTCTTGTTGCCAAATAGAATTTGTCCAAAATTAAACAATAATGCTTTAGATTAATCCATTTGATGAGAATTTCAGAATCCCTTAGTGACGACATAACTCGTTATTTATCGTCAAAATTACGTCCAGGATTTTGGATAATCTTACATGTACGCAGTAAATTTATTAGGGACTCCGATGATTAATCCCCTTTACTCAAAGACCGAACAGATGATGCTAAGCTATCGAATCTTGATAGTCCAACCATATGTACACAAATGCACCCTTAGGGCTTTCTCTTTCTCTATATACTCAATTCAACTCAATTGAACCGTTGGTACTCTCATTCGATTCAAAATCTTTAAGCGATGCTCAACGAAAGCGACGAAGGTAACGAGGGTTAACGCACTAAGGAAAGAGAAAATAGTTTCGTGTCTAGAGGATTAACGAGGCGTAGTTTAAAAGCACCTAACTAGCAGAGAAAAGAATAATTAAAAGGCCAAGGGAAAGAGAGAATGAGGGAAATTAGAGAATAAAGAAGATAAAGAAGAAGAAGAAGATGAAGAAAAAAAAAGTAGAAAAAAGAAAAGAAAAAGAAAAGGCTTGAAGAGAAAGAAAGAGAGAGAAAAGAAGAAGGTTTTTGTTGGTGAACAAAACCGACGAAGATTAATACCACCACTTTAGTGGTTAGTTCGTTAGGTTTGACGATTTACTTCAAAACTAAGGGATCTAAAGTCTGCAACAGCTTCGGCTTTGCGTACCTATCTACCTTTTGTCGTTAAATACCAAGACAAACTTCATTAAACTTCGGCTACTACTATATCCTTATTACCAAATTGCAAAAGGAAAATTAATTGTTAAGCAAGAAAGATTTGATCTTTTGATCAATCAATCGATCGATCGATCGATCAATCAAATAATAAATTACTGTAGATCCTTATTTGTTGCTTCTTTCTTCTCTTATATCTTACCTTATCTGGTCATATTTATTTTAACATCTTTGATCGATAAATATCTAATCTGTAGCGAATAATAATCCACAATTGATTTTCACTATGCATGATTAATAAATCATATTGAAACGTAGTAACATAAGGACGCGAGCTTTGAACATAGGAATAATATAATGTGTCGAGCAAATAACGATTTACAAATGGCCAGCGCCAGCAGCCGGCAACCAATAATATAGGAAAATTGGAAGAACGTTAATTACGATAACGAGGACGAACGAGCCAGCCATTCTAGAATGTTGCCAAGCGGGAAGAATAATGACGACAAAAACTGGAACGCTAGATGAGGAGAACTGATTTCCCCCGCCTTTTTAATACCTTCCTACGAAGGATACTGTTCAACGACACCATCCCGAAAAGACAAATCTAAAAACGTCGTCATAACTCCTTCTTCTCCTCCACCTCCTCCTCCTCCACCTCCTCCTCCTCCTCCTCCTCCTCTTTCTACACCTACTCCTTTTTTTATTTCTATTATTAACACTAAACCGTATCGCTACGACGAATCAAATGATCGATTTATCAATTTCCCATTCTAATTATATATATCTTAATATTTATTTAATTTATTATTTGAATCAAATTATATCTGCATTCTATATTAATAACTTTTTAACTTGAATTAAAAATCACAATAATTTTAAACAATTAGTGAATAAAGATGTATACATAAATACAGATAAGTTTTAGTAATAATTAATTTACCCAATAAAGAAGCTTTTTTTTCTTTTCTTTTTTTTTTCTTATGAGTTCAAATAGAAGATAGAGAGAAAAGAAATAATATAAACGGATGAGTTCGAAGGGTAAGAATGAAAATAGCGAGGGGTAGTGAATGGAGAGAGAATCGAAGGCCGCAGCTTCCATTCTAGCTGTGGCCTTCGAGAACCCCAACCTCCGTGAAAATCAATGTTAGCCACTGTGGTCTCGCGCTACTAGCCGTTCAGATAACGTCTTCCCCTTCACTCGTTCTCCCTCATTTCATTCTCTCATCCCTCTCTCTCTATTTCTCTAAGAATGTTCCTAAAAATACATCGTCTAACTCGTGTATTTACTTACACCTCTAAACACATGTACCATACAGCTATACATAGATTTACCTGGCACAATCTTTTTTAAACGTATCACGTCGTTTTCTTTCGACCTGTTAAGAACGACATTCTTAAGGGTATCTATCTATTATTAAATTATTAAATGAAACCACACGAACCAAATAAACATTCAAAGACTTCTTTTTTACAATTTTACGAAGTGTCCTAAGTGAGAAATAATCGAGTAATACTCGTACTAGTATTACTAAACCTTAAAGATACCCCATAAAAAGGGACAAACGAGTAGACGGAACCGGCATGGCGTACTTACAAACAACAAACCACCTGCTTGACTACCCTCTATCGAGCCGAGTCTAACCGAAAATAACCGAACGAACCATCATCATCATCATCATCATCATCATCATCATCATTATTATTATTGTTATCGTCCCTGTTAAACGTAATTCATAACTTTCTCTTCGTATTGCATAGGAAAAAAGAAAAGTATATATATATATATAATGCATCAGTAAAGTAAATTTTTATAAAAAGTAAGTTCGTATAGAAAACACCGCTAGCAATAGTATAATACACTATCATTGTTTTGCAATACTTTGTGGTATTTACATTGACATGAATAAAATATTTATTTATTTATTTATTGTATTCACAAAAAAACAATACCTATCATAAATAAACATAAAAATTTTTCTTAAACTTGCATGTATGTCTTTTATATATATTCTTTCATATCAACATATTTTCCTTCCACCACCATTGTATTTTTTGTTCTCACCTACGATAACGATATTTGACGGGGATGTGCTACAAACGATGCATATAACGCGCTTAACGATCCCCCGTAAACTTCGAACATTTTGTTACTTCTTCCCTAAATATAACGCGATTAAATACATTTTTGTTTTTTCTTCTTCTTCATTTTCTTGTTCTACCCCTTTTTTTCTTTTTTATTCATTGCCACAGACCACGCGCGCGTTATACGGTCTTCCTCGTACAAGCACATTATCCTTCGAAACGCTCGCTCTCGTATTTATTTCCTCTCTTCTTTTTTTTTTTTGTTCATTTGTCTCTCTCTCTCTACGTAAGTACATTGTGTATGGTTTTTTTTCCTTTTTGTTTTCATTTCAAATTGCAGCATAAAAAAAAAGAAATTAATACAACGCGAAAGCAATTTTATTCCCGATAACGAGATATCACGTTTTTACATCCCTCTCTTTATTTTTTATATTTTTGATCTGCTTTCATCTCCTTTATCTATTAATTGAAATAATATACGTACATAAAACATATTTACAAAAATATAATAGGTATAATTGATATAATTTAATAATCTATCCCTCTCTCTCTCTTTCTCTCTCATTCTCATTCGTTCACTCACTCACTCACTCACTCTTTCTATTTCAAGCGGAGACGATATCTCACAATTAGCGCCTCATTCAGTAGATTAAAATAAATAATCCTTTTAATAAGCGAAATTCGACGTAATGTTTGTCATAAATCACTATTGAATTCTTGATGATACAACGATGATATACGACGCACGACGTATTATTATTTTCAATTGTTCTTCTTGGTTCATCTAGCATAATGTATATATATATATTTTTTTTAATTATATTCTTTGAAAATTCTTAACAAAATTTTTAAAGAAAAAAATCTTAAAAGGAAACAATTAAAGAATTTCTCATTGTTTAATGACTTTATTTCCAATATCAATTACTATTCTTTCAAGAAACTTTGATGAGTTCAAAATTAAAATTGAAAAAGTAATATCGAAAAAAGCTGAAGAAAAATTTAATTATAATTTTTAAACTAAAAAAAAAAACCAATAGAAATATAACGATAAAATTTCTGTTGTTTATTTTCTATGGACATTTATCGGTCTTGCTTGATAATTATATGGCTAATAAGACAAAAGAAATAATGAAAAATGCAATACCAACCTCTGCGATGATTCCTAGCGATTTTCTTCTTAATTCGACGAAGTGTATTAAAGAAATCAAGAATTTACAAGATGTCAAACTTGTCCAATCTATTACTGCAGGTCTTCAATATGTTAATAATGAAAACATCATTATTTTATATTAATATTTTTAAATTATATATCTTTTATACTTGTTCTAATAAAAATATACATGAAACATTACTATTCTTGTATGAAACGTCAACTATGTACAAAAACGTTTATAAAGATATTTTTTCCAACTGATTGATGAGATCGTTGTACTTGAAATTATTAGGATTATTATTAAACGTTTCCAATAATTTCAACCTCTGTGAATTTTTACCAATGTAATACAACTGTAGTTCATTGGTTAAACACTGCGCCTCATGACAATTTAAGAAATTTAAATCGAATTCACCACGCATTAATACTATACCCCTGCTATCCTTGAATTCTGTATAATGCGTTAGGGTTAAACACTCTGGTGCATTCTCCTTGTGAGTCTGATACCATAACAAAGACGTCATGTAAACTTTATTCCCTTGGAATTGACTTAAGAAAAATTCGTAGCCTTGTTTCCTTGGTAATGGTAAGAGAAATAAAGGATATTTACTGCCATAACCGAGTATCCTTTCATATTGCTCCGATTCTATTATCGCACAAATATAATCTTTCTGTTTATGATACTCCATCCAAATTTCACCAATTTCTTCTTTAGTTTTTCCCTTTATCATATCTATGTTCATAATATCACTGAGACGTGCTTCTTTGATAGGTGATGGTTGTAACACTTCTGCTTTGGCTTTAGCTTGATATAAATTACGATCTTGTTCTTGTGTTTCTATAGGACAAAAAGATACACAAAAGCCTACATGTGAAATGAATTAATCCAATAAAATAATATAGGTATTATATTAGGTAATACGCTTAAATCAAAATGTCTGTGCAATGAATTTAAATTATTTTGTCATATCTCAATGAACACTGTTATGATAACGAAAAATAACAATAATTAAAACTACATAAAAGTAGATACGTTACCTTTTTTCTTTTGCATCTTTTGTTCTTGTTTTTCGATACGTTCTTCTAATAATTCTGGATTTATCAATTGAAGTTCTGCTATTTTTTTCGCATACTTATCAAAGTAAGGATTACTTTTTAAGTTTTCTAAAACTCGATCTGTTTTAGTTCGAGATGCCATGAATGTAAGGGATAATGATACTTTATTTGCTGTAATATATCGAGAATAACGAAATAATGATGAAAACCATAAGCTCATAATCAACAAATGTTAACCTATTTTCTTCTTATTCAAGCTATTTTAAAATATATTTGGCCACGTGTTTATTTAAACAACGCGAACGATCGAAAAAATAAAGGCGTATTAATTAGACGAGCTAAGCAAATTAATTAATTTACTACTCTTTATTAAATTAATTTATTTCTCGCGTACATAAATTCGTAAATTATTTTACACATAAAGGGATATAACCTATTCACGTTTATTTACCGACTGACAGATGCGTTACGAGGACCATTGTAGTTCATATTTCATTCACACGCGTCACTCAAATCGCACGTGTTCGAAAAATATGGTGGACATTTTTAAAGTGATTTTAATATCATTTTTATTTACTTGTTTTTATAATTAATCTTGAAATTCGTTTGTCATTAATATTTATTCGATTTTATCATTATTTCTGTAATCTGTATATACTGTTGTAAAAATTTATGTGAATCAAGATATATATGTGAAAAAAGAGAACTATGAAAGTATCACAGTTTATAAGCCATTTCAATAATTATTTCAATGTAAAATCTATTTATTAAAAAAATCATGTCGTCTAGTCATCGCTCTAATCGTGTTAAAAATGATTCAGACTATAATATAAAGAAAAGAAAATATCACGAAAGAGATGACAATAATGTTGAAAGTAATAAACACAAGCACAGCTCGTTTGGTCATTTGACCTCGCAAGAATATAAAAGTGATGATGAATATAAACAAATGGATTTAACTAATGAACAATATAAATATAAATCCCAACACGATAATAAAAATTTCTCTTTTAGTAAATACACGAACGAATTGAATAAAGTATTTACAGCAAATGTTAACTTGATTTCTGATACAAATGACTTTTGGAAATTTGTTCATAAATATGAAACGATAGAAAAAAGAATGAGCAATGCGAATGATGCAGGACCGGTCTATGATTTGAATGCACTTGGGGTACCAAAAGTATATCACAAAGCACACTGTATAAATTTTAAATTAAATTTAACTTTTGGAGAATTGTTCGCTAGAGTTCCTGAAACCAAAGCATTGACTAAAGAACAATTATTAAAATTTAAATATATCATTAATTTATATTTGGATTTTAAACAAAAAGAAAAATTTACTAAATTAAAAAAACTTCGAGAAACGCAGGCCAATCTACCAGTTACTCAGTATAAGAATGAAATCATTGAAACAATTAAAAAAGAAAGAGTTGTTATTATCGCTGGTGATACTGGTTGCGGAAAGTCGACTCAAGTTCCACAATATTTATATTCTGCTGGTTTCAACAAAATTGGTAAGGTATTTTATTAACATATTTTTATTAAACATTACAAAGAAAAATCAATCAATTCATTTTTACAGTTTGTACACAACCTAGAAGAATAGCATGCATATCTTTGGCAAAGCGTGTTGCTTTTGAAACGTTGACTGAAAATCATAACGAAGTTGGTTATCAGATTCGCTTTGAAAAACAAAAAACACAAGAAACTAAAATAACTTTTATTACAGAGGGTTTACTTCTAAGACAGGTACAAATTATTCTGATCAGAATGATAATGTATTATAATGTACTATAATGCATAATAACGTATTAATCATTTTTTCATATAAACAAATTAGAGATTTACTAACTCTGTAGGTATCTGGTGAATCTGGATTATTACCATATGACATTGTTGTATTGGATGAAGTACATGAACGCAATTTACATGGTGACTTCCTATTAGGTGTCATGAAATGTATTATACATCAAGAATCTAATATAAAGTTAATACTGATGTCTGCTACCATCAACATACAATTGTTTAGCGATTATTTTTCCAAGGAGAATGCTAAAGTGATACAGGTTAAATAACATAAATATATATTTGTAACATAAAACAATAGTAATGACTATTTATCGTTCATTCAAATTATTTATTTATTGGGGTATTTAGGTTCCTGGAAGATTATATCCCATTCAATTATTATACAGACCTATTACAATAGAAGATATGAAATATAAGAACAATAGATTTAATCCCAGTCCCTATGTACAAATAATGCAAATGATTGATCATAAATATCCAGGTAAAGATATATTTTATCTAAAAATAATATTAAAATCAAGCAAAAAGTATTATTATTAATAATGATTTCGTTTATTTTCAGCTGATGAAAAAGGTGATTTATTGATATTTTTAAGTGGAATGAAAGAAATTACTGCAGTCGTAGATGCTGCCAAGGAATATAGCGCGAAAAAAAATAATTGGATTGTTTTACCATTACATAGCTCGCTCTCTCTTGCTGATCAAGATAAAGTATAAAATGAGATAAAATTTTAAACAAATTTTATAATATTAATTATCTCGAAAGTATCTGAAAAATGCAATATATGTTTTTCAGGTATTTGATTATGCTCCAGATGGAGTGAGAAAATGTATTGTATCTACAAATATTGCTGAAACCTCTATTACCATAGATGGAATTAGATTTGTAATTGACAGCGGCAAAGTCAAAGAGATGAGTTATGATCCTTTGTGTAAAATGGAACGTCTCAAGGAATTCTGGATCAGTAAGGCTAGTGCAGAACAGAGAAAAGGTCGTAGTGGTAGAACTGGACCTGGTGTATGTTACAGGTATGTTAATATTTTTAAATGGTGAATACTAACAAAAATATTATAACAAAAATTATCTACAGACTTTATTCCGAAGAAGAATACACGGCTCTTGAAGAATACACAACACCTGAAATACAACGTGTTCCTTTAGATTCTTTACTGTTACAAATGATTGCTATGGGATTACCAGATGCAAGAAAATTTCCGTTCATAGAACCTCCGCCATCGGAAAGCATAGAAAATTCAATATTATCGTTAAAAGATCACGTAAATAAACCATATTTTTAGTCGATTATAAATTTCAATCAACATATATCTATTATATGAGTTAACTATTTCCTTTTTTATTTTAGAGAGCATTAACGAATGATGAAAAATTAACGTCTATTGGTCAAACATTATCACGTCTCCCAGTTGATATTAGAATAGGAAAGATGTTAATAATGGGTTCTATTTTTCATCAAGTAGAACCAATATTATCGCTTGCCGCTGCTTTAAGCATACAAACTCCTTTTACCAATAGAGCCTATAAAGATATAGAATGTGAGGTAAGAATGTTAAATTATTTATAATCATTACAATTGTTTTTAATTATATTTAAAAATTTTTAAAGACATCTAGGAAAAAGTTAGAATCTGACCATGGTGATCCTATAACGTTATTAAATGCATTTAGAGAATGGTTGGAAGTTAAGCAACAAAGTACACACGAATCTAGAGGAAATGGAAGTAACAGCAGGAAATGGTGTAAAAGAAGAGGCTTAGAGGAACAAAGATTTTATGAAATGATCAAATTACGAACGCAATTTAAAGAATTACTTCAAGTTAGTTTAAATAATCCATCAATATTTAATTGGTGCTTATTATATCTCAAAAATTAATTGATGAAATCACTTATTGCGATATACAGGATTGCGGTCTATTAAAAAGTTTAGCTGAACCAAATTCTTCTATGAGCAGTGCCGAACGAGCAATACGACATGGTGAATTAAAACTTTTAAAATCACTTAAACAAACCTATAAACAAAGTGCGCCTAGGAAACGTAAACAATTAAAAGTAGACACATTTGATATACAACTAGAAGACAATGATAATAACGATGATGAAATAGACATAAAAGATGTTGAGTTTCGAATGAAAAATGATGCAAATCAAGTTCAAAATCTTTTAACTGCGTCTACTGCGTGTAGTTATAAAGATTTAATGATGTTAAAATTAATACTTTGTAGTGGTTTGTATCCACAATTCGCATGTGCTGATGAATTTAATTATTGCAAGGTAAAAAATATTACTGTTTGTAAATTAAATATAACTTATCTATTTATATTATTATTGCTATTTATATTAAAATGTTTCAGTCTACAAGCGAGCAACTGTTTCATACAAAAACTAAACCATATGTTGCATTGCATCCAATGAGTTTCTTTGGTAATTATCCACAAGTACTGCAACTTGAAGAACATGATATAATATCTATACCGAATTTTAAAAGTAAAACTCCTGTTAGTCCTAAGCATCAATTATTAACATATTTGTAAGTATTTTTTCTATTATACAATATAAATATAAATGATATTAATTATATAGCAGGTGATTAGTTAATGAAAAATTCAGGTAACAAGCATTATCTTTGAGTGGATTGTGTTCGTTAACCAATTACCTATTGTATTTTATTTATCAAATTATTTATTAAATATTATTTATTATATATGTATAACAGATCTCTACTAGAAACTACAAAGCCTTATTTGGTAAATACACTTAGAATGCCTGCTGCACAAACATTATTATTATTCGCACAAGAAATTGATACTAATGCTACTTTTTCAATGTAAGTCCACATAAAATTATTGTCAGATGGCATCGATAAATTAATAAATCTGTTACGAACGTATACATATATATATTTATTTAAAATTGTAGAATAGTGTGCGATACATGGCTGCTATTAGAATTTCCTGTACCTGATACTGGACAAACATTATTGATGAAATCTACTGGGCTACGTCACAAGTGGGAATTTCTTTTAAATGAAAGATTGAAAGGTATAATTAAAAAACAAAGCTGAAAAGAATTTGAAAAAGAATACTAATTAATCCCTTATTTTTTTAGAATCAGGGACTCCAAACAATATGTCTAACATTAGTGATATAGAATATGAACTTACTCAAGAATTAATTGACTATATGCATACAACAGTTCCGTACGTAATAAAGCGTCTTTTACCTGCTGATTTAAAAATAATATACGTTGGGAATGGCGAAAATGCTGTACATATTGATCCTAACCCTTTTAAAGTTGATTTCAAGCCCGTATTTAATTCAATAAAAGGAGGAGTGTACTTAACTGATAATATTACATATAATTGGTATAAAAATATTGGTACAAAATTTGTACAAATTGATCAGATGTAATACAATTTAATAATATTCTTAATTTGTTAATATAGTATAAAGGAAACTGATTGGAGTGACAAAATAGCTGTTGATATGTGTGAAACTACCTGGACTTGTCAACGATGCAATCTGGAAGCTATCTTCACTAGTATTGAAAAACTTCAACATCAAAGTACTTGTATGCAATCATCGATGAAAGAAACTACTAATAAAATAGAACACGTAAAGGTAAAGCCCAACAGTCAGACTTACAATTGTCCTGAATGTTCAAAAGCTTTACATCTTACGCCTATCGAAATATTGAAGCATAAGAGACAACATATGAAAGCAAATATACCATAAACAACATATTATATTGTTAATAAATTTATTTTTAATTTCTTTTCTAAAGAAAAAAAAACAAAAAATATAGATATATATATATATATATATATATTATATATATTTGTACATTTTTCTATATATAAATAATATACAAAGATTTCGAGTTATGTGTAATCATGTCCATGGTAAGAAATTTACAAACATGAAACATCCTATGATTGTATATCCTAAAAAATATAGTAATATAAGTTTATCTCTTATAGTATAGTTTTGTTTAAATAAAAATAATGTTTTCGAATTAAAAAGAAAATTTTGTTTACGTTTGCATATCGAATCACTCGCACTATCAAACTTTACTACACGAGATAAAGATAATGCACAATACCAATAAACAAGAGGACTAGCAGAACATAATAAACGTGTGCTTACTTGAATATGTACAAAACAAATACTAAATATTGTTAAAAATATTCCATGTATTACAAATACAAACATCTCAGCTGGATATTTTTTTTCTATTTTATTTTTTTCATATTTTATATTTACAAGTCCTAAAGAAAAGAATTGCATTTTATGTTCCGAATAAAATTCCATGATACATTTGATCATAATGTATAATATCGGTAAAGCTAAAATAAAATTGGGAATCTGCTTTAATTTATAATAATTTAAAAAACCAATATTCCAGTATTTTTCTTGTACGTATGAGTAAGCCATGGGTATTTGTGCTTGGCACCATGTAGAAGAAGTACCATTGTATTGCAATATTAAATTATTTTGTCTAGCATAATCTACAATATGTTTTGGTAATATCGACATATTTAATTCGCTTTTACAAAATATCATATAATTATATATTTGTAAGACTATGAATGGAATGAAAGATAAAATGACTATTATCAACAATTTAAATATACTTACAATTAGCATACATTTTTTCTTTACAATTAAATTACATAATTTTATAATAGAAATATGATCTTTTTTCGAACTGGTTTCTAACGTTAACGCATTAAATATATTTTTAAATCTAAAATATATTAAAAAACCGACGTTTACAATGCCATTCGATCTTACAAGAGTAGACAATCCTAAGGGAACAATTGTAAATAAATTATTTTGTATACTTTCTAGCATGGTATAAAAAGTGAAATATGCAAAAATAGTTTCGGTATATGCGGCAGAAAAAAATATACTAGCCGGATTTATGCAATATAATATCGCCGCTTTATATGCTATATTAGTATTTTTTAATACCAATTTACTAAGGTCAAAAAAAATAGATACCGATTTAATGAAACATAAATAATTAATTAATACAGCTGCAAGAATCAAAGAGCTGTGAACGTTAAATACAAAAAATATCTTTCCTATTATTATCGCAGTAATTCGAATAATTCCAGGATATAATGGATAAAAAGCAAGCATGTTTTCATAAGTATATCCATACTTTGCTATGTGTATGAAATATTCTGCATCCCATTTTATTAAACCATTGAATAAAAACCTAATTGTAATGTCATAATTAGAAACATGTTCGTTAATATCAGGAGGACTTTTAAAAGCATCTGCATTGTGATCGGGAAATATAATATTAAAAAGGAATTGTAAAATTAGTAGTAACATCCGAGAAATTATAGCAAAGTATAAAATCTTCTTCTTCATTGCGTGCATTTTTCAATTACTTGTAAGGCTCGTATAATATTTAACAAGTTTTCTACTTCTAATTTATATTATATTCAAATTGAATAATCATAAAAATACTTCAACTCTACGCCACAAAACTTCAATGATTCACATCTTGTGGTTTTCCTACTTTCCTTTATCTAATTCTAAAAGAATTCAAAATTGCGTTGTATACGTAAATCTTTCTTTTTAGTAACCGTTTTTATTTTTCTCCAGTCAATTGCATTAAAACATTATAAAACTATAACAAACAAAAATAAACAATATTTAAACAATTAGACAAAATATTCTATTAAAGAATATAAAAGAAAAATGATTTGGTTATTATCATATTGGTTCGTTTTAATCGTTCATTTAAATTTAATTAATTCAGATACTGCAAATGTAACGCCTATGGAGACAAAAATTCGTAAGTAGAAATACTTCATTATAATTTTAATGTAATGCACATATAAAGAATTTGTATATATGTTTTTTTAATTATATACTTGTTATCAGCTAACAACAAACCAAAAGTCTTCTACTTGACTAAAAATAAAGAAAATTTAATTCAATGGTTACTTACTGGATGTTGGGAGCCAAATGTATCTATTGAATGCAACAACTTTAAGTACCGTGACCCAAATCCAACTGAATATCCTGGATATGATGGATGGTACAATAATATTGGTCGACCAGAAGTTGGTGCAGTCGATACTCAACTTTTAAGAAGATTGCCTGCAGCTTATAAAGATGGAGTATATAAACCTGATTTGAAAAGTAGACCAAATCCATTGGATATAAGTAGAGAATTATTAAGTGGAGAAATTGGATCTGAATCTGTAAGAAAAAGAAATGTATTACAAGTATTTTTTGGTATGTGAATATAAATCTTTTAACAATAATGTGCGAATAGCAATGATTATTAAATTAAATACAACTATGAATATGATAACTGATTAATATATTATATAGGTCAACAAGTTGTGGAAGAAATATTGGATGCCCAAAGACCAGCATGTCCTCCTGAATATATTAATATAGAAATGACAGAACCTAAAGGTAAAATTAAGCAAATGCCTGTACTGCGTACACGTTATGACCAATCTACAGGTACTTCTCCAAATAATCCACGGCAACAGGTTCAGTTATTTAAAACTTTTATTAAAAAAACAAAACAATAATAACAATTGATAAATAATTTCTTGAAATATTATTTTATTTATATAAAATTTTGTTATTCTGTAGTTAAATGAAATAACACCATATATAGATGGAGGATTAATTTATGGTACTACTAAAGCATGGTCAAATATATTAAGGACATATGCTAATGGAACTATTGATACAAATGGTTTACTTGCAACATCTAAAGATTCGAATCAGTATCCAGAAATAAACACAATTAGATTACCAATGGCAAATCCTCCACCTCCTGTCGGACATGATAAATACGTTTCCCAACATTATACGGAGAATGTCAACAGATACTTCAGTAAGTATAATTTTACTTGAACAATGACAAAAATATTCAAATTTTTAATCCACAAACTTTCTTAGCATATTCAGCAATATGATAATCTTTTGGAGTACATTCGTATTCAAGTTTTTCTGAATAAGGCATCGGAACGTCAATTCCAGTACAACGAATTGCTGGTGCATCCAGTTCAAAGAAAATAGGATTTTCCATAATAGTCGCAACTATTTCAGAACCTACTCCACACCTAGGCCAACCTAGTTCGACTGTCATTACTCTATGTGTTTTACTGATGGATTTAAAAATCATTTCCCAATCAAGAGGTCTAAGAGATCGTAGATTAATAACTTCAGCCTCAATTCCCTGTCCTGCTAAAATATCAGCTGCTTGCATAGTATATACTGTCGCTTGACCATGAGTAATCAACGTAATATGCTTTCCGGATTTTTCTATTTTTGCTTTACCTATTGGTATAACAAAATCTTTGTCCATAGCTTGATCCGATAAAGGAAATTCAAAATTATAAAGAATTTCGCTTTCCAAAATTAAAACAGGATCTGGATCCCTTACGGCAGCTTTCAAACTACCTCTATAATCTTCGCAACTTGTAGGAGACATAACTTTCAAGCCAGGAACACTCATATACCAAGCTCCAAAACATTGTGAATGCTGAGCTCCTAATCCTTTAGCACTGCCATTTGGACCACGAAAAACTATAGATACAGGATATCTTCCTGCGCTCATATAACAACTTTTAGCAGCTGAATTTATTATTCGATCCATAGCTTGCAAAGAAAAATTAAATGTCATAAATTCACAAATTGGTTTTAATCCAGCCAATGCAGCTCCTATAGTTATACCACAGAAACCTGCCTCGGTTATTGGTGTATCAATCAATCTTTTATCTCCATATTTTTTCCAAAGTCCTCGTGTTATTTTATATGCTCCATCAAATTCTGCAACTTCTTCTCCCATAATAAATACTTTTTCATCTCGTTCTAATTCTTCGTCGAGAGCCAAATTCAGTGCGTCTCTTACAGTCATTTTGGTAATGGATCTAAGAGATCTTTTTTGTACAAAATGAGATATTGATAATAATGATCGTCTCAAGAAATAAATGGTTAACATTTTTAAGGAAATATTTAATAATTTGTTTGCATTAATCTTTGTTTCAGAATTAGGAAATCCAAGAGGGAATGAAAATCCGTTTCTTTTGACATTTGGAATAATTTGGTTCAGATGGCACAACTATATTGCAAGATTTATAAAGAGTCAACATGGAAATTGGACAAGTGAAAAAATTTACAATGAAGCTCGTAAATGGGTAATTGCGACGCAACAGCATATAATTACCAATGAATGGATAAAAGAGTGGCTAGGAGAGAAATTACCACCATACGAACGTAAGAATAAAAATACAATTAATCAGTATTAAAACAAAATCTGAATGATATGTTACACAAAATAATTTATATTATATATTTAAAGATATAAAGAACTTTATCAAATGTTATATATTTATCATAGGCTATGATCCTAATATCGACCCACAAATAGATCAGTTTTTTCAAGCTGCTGCCTTCCGTTATGGCCACACTTTAGTACCAGCTGGTAGGTTTAAAAAATGATATATAAAATAATGAATTTAATACTCGATAGTAAATGTTAAGATATTTCATTCATGGCCTACTTAAAAAGAAATAATTGAAATTCTATTTAAAAACACACACAAGGTGTGATATTTAATTTTATGAATGTATTTATATATTTGTATCTAAACATATAAATTGCATTAATCACACATTCGCATCAAAACAGGTGTTTATTTACGAAATTATACAAAAAATAAATGTAAGTTAGAACTTAATGCGCGAGCTATTAGAACATGCAACAATTACTGGATGCCAAAGGTATTGATCTATAAAAAAATCAATTTGTTATTATCAATATGTTCTTATTCTATTAAAAGTTATTTTTTAGAATTCTTTGTTCCAAGATGAATCAAAATTAAATATTAATCTCAATATCGATGAGTTAATAATGGGGATGGCTGTACAATTATGCGAAAAAGAAGATCATAAAATAGTAGAAGATTTACGTGGTCATTTATTTGGACCACTTGAATTTTCAAGAAGAGATTTAATGGCTCTCAATATACAAAGAGGTAGAGATCATGGATTACCTGATTATAATACTGTACGAGATGCATATAATTTAAGTAGAATTGAAAGCATGGAACATTTTAAAACTTTGACATCGCATAAGATTGACCCACAGGTACGATAACAAATTTTTAAACCTCTATTTTCTTCTACATATTACTAAATAATCTTTCGTGTGTTGTCCACGTATTAGATTGACAAATTATCTAAATTATACAATAACTCTGTCGACAATATTGACCTTTGGGTCGGTGGAATATTAGAAACTCGTGATAATCCTGGAGAATTATTTAAAAAAATTATCATCGATCAATTTGTGCGTATACGCGCAGGAGATAGATTCTGGTATAAGAATGACAAAAATGGGTTCGTACAATACTTTTTACACTACATTATTACAATTCTTTAAATCTATGTATTTTAGAAAAAAAATAATGAATTAATTATACAAACTTAATTCTACTGTTTAGATTATTTACAAAAAGTGAAATAGATAGATTAGAAAATTTATCATTCTATGATATGTTGATATCTATAACCGATATGGATTACGATGATATTCCAGAAAATCCTTTTTTAATTCCTGCCGATGGTACATAAAACATTCATCTATACTATATAGATATCAAAATATAACTTTTTATAGAATACATTATTTTTTTCAGATAATAATATAAGCCAAGCCTGTAAAGATGAATTGAGAAATGATTGTTGTAAATTGACAACAGAAGAAAATAACGCTAACGAAAACAAGTGTTATTGTGCTAAATCGATTAATATAAAGAACGTTGAAAAATGTACAAATTTAAAAACCTATGATTACTTTAACAATAGCGAAATATCTTTTATAGTTACATTTACGGGATTAACTGGAATTTTCTTTGGTATATATTATGAAAATTATTATATTATTATAAGAATAATTAATATTATATTCCATATATATATCTTTATATAACTCAAATAATAATTTTCAATATAGGAATAGTTATATTTCTTCTTTACAAGTTACACTTTAAGCAAAAGAAACAAACAAAATATCGTATGACACTTCTTGTGAAAGAAAATAAAAAGCCGATATATGCGGGTAAGATATTTATTAAACAACTATTCTCTCACAATATTATTTTATGTTAATAATCCTATTTTCATAGCTACCGAATGGCAGGGCCGAAGATTAGAAGCAAAACTTGTAATTGTTATTTTCAATCAAGAAAAAAAGCTACTTGAATTACAAAATCTTTTTGGAAAAATAACGAGGATCATTGACTTTGAGCATGATAACGTGGTAAAAGTAATTATGGATTAATATTAAATCTTTTTATTAAAAATACATTTTTTTTATCTCGGATATGAAAAAGATTGATCTTATTTTTAGATATATATTCCATCCGACAGCAATCATATTATGATTAGAGTTGAACAAAATTATGATTTAGTACTCAAATTTGATTCATCTTACTCAAAAATTTTATTTCTCAAAGCATTTGAACAATTTATTTTGAATATTTCTAGAAAAAATTTGGAAAAGATTACAAATATTAATAGTGCGAAAATGTTGAAGGAAGCAATTACGAAGAAAGATCGTCAAGATAAATTAGAAAAATTTTTTCGTATTGTCTTTGCACAGGTATAATTCTATAGCGAATAGAAATGATATTTTATTATGTGAAATTATTGATATTTTCTTTTGTAACATTTCTTAATATTTACAATATTGCAGGCATTTCATATAGTACATACCGAAGATAAAATAATGCAAATAAATTCGGAAATTGCAAAAGAAGTGATTTATACGGAATTGACTATTACCGAATTTGCAGAATCATTGAGTATGCGACCGGATGCAGAATTCGTTAAAAAGGTAATAAATCATAAAATTTAATTAATATGCATCTTAATAACAATTGGATTTTTTTCAGATATTTAATTTGGTCGATAAAGATAAAAATGGTTTTATATCCTTTCGTGAATTTGTTGATATGTTGGTAATATTCCTCAAAGGTAATGCCGAAGAAAAGATGAAATTTATGTTTGATATGTATGATATAAATGGTACAGGAAGACTTACAAAAGAAGATTTTATGATTATGTTAAGGTAATGGTTTAATGCTTTCTTTATTTTCTCTCTACTTTGCATGCATACGTGAATCCAAATAAATTCTAAATAACGTGTTTTTATTGTTAGATCCTTTTTAGAAACTGTCAATACTGATGTAACGAATAATGAATTAGAAAATCTTATTCATTCAATGATGAACCAAGTTAATTTAGCTTCTAAAAAAACTATTAATTTAATGGATTTTAAACATCTATTTAGCGAATTTAATGATAAACTTAATTATATAGAATTAGAATTTAACGTTAATTCTGATGGAAAAACAAGGAAGTTACATGCAGGTGCTGGAACTATCAAATCATCGTTTATAGGAGAAGTACAAAAAACAATGGATACTTTGTATAGTGATCTGGATGACTTGGAATCAAGAGTTGAGGGTAAAATTACAGAAAAAAATATGAATTGGAAAACTGATAAAGAAGCAATCGATAATCAAAAGATCGTAGATGATACCAATGAATATAAAGGTATTTATTGGTATCCGATAATGAAATATCTTGCTAATAAACGATTAAAAATATTTTGGATGTCACTCTACACTGAGATCTTACTTTTAATATTTATAGAACGTGCATACTGTAAGTATCTTTCATATTTTCATATTTTTTCTTATAACAATATGTAATACATTTTATAGCCTAAACTTGAGAAATACTTAAAATGAATTCAAAATAAAAATCAATTTTTTACATTAAAATCGTTCGAAATCATTTGCAGATTATTCAATAGAACGAGAACATACAGGTTTGAGGCAAATTTTAGGGTATGGTTTGGCACTTACAAGAGGGGCAGCATCAGCTATGATGTTTACATATTCATCACTTTTGATTATGACATGTCATAACATCAACACTTTACTGAGAGATACAATTTTACAATATTATATTCCTTTTGATTCTATGATTGACATGCATAGATATATTGCATATTGGGCTTTAGTATTTACCGGTATAAATTTTATTACATCTTTTTCTTTCATTGATAAAAAGTTTATAAAATATATTTCAACTTCTGCTATTTTAGTTCATTAATATATGTTATAATGTAGTATTACACGTTATTGGACACGGTTTCAATTTCTATCACATCGCAACGCAAACAGCCGATGATCTGACATGTTTGTTCCCTAATTATTTTCATTCGTACGTATTTTATTTTTATATAACGTATGATAAAAAAAATGATCATATAAAAATAATTGTCTTTATTTAGAACCGACGAACTTCCAAAATTCTATTATTGGATGTTTCAAACATTAACAGGCATAACTGGTGTATTGTTGACTATACAGACTGGTATAATATTTTTTTTTTCATTGCCTATTGTAAGAAGAAGACTTTATAATTATTTTTCCTACACTCATTCTTTATATCCAGTCTTTTATATCCTTATGATTCTACATGGTACAGGAAGATTAATTCAAGTATATTTATCATTTTTATAATATAAAATTAATTATTTATTTGTTCTTTTTAACTTAATAATTAATATAATTATAATGTTTAATAACAGGAGCCATATTTTCATTATTTCTTGTTGGGTCCAGCAATATTATTTATCCTAGACAAAATAATTACAATGACAAGAAAAACGATAGAAATACCAATATTAAAAGCAGACATTCTACCTTCAGGTAAGACATTAAAATCCACATGAATAATTATTATTATAATTATATTTATGAATGTTATCATCGTACAATATATGATATATAGATGTAACATGCATAACTTTTGCAAAACCTCAAAATTTTCAATACAAATGTGGACAATGGATAAGAATTGCGTGTCCAGAATTAGGAACAAACGAATTTCATCCATTTACTCTTTCTTCTGCGCCTCATGAACATAACTTAACGACACATATCAGAGCAGTTGGACCGTGGACTAAAAATATTAGAAGTACATTAGAGCTTTCGATATTGGTTAATAAAATGTTACCAAAGGTAAAAATAATATGTTTTAATACGAAATTGGTATAACTTTATAATATTCACTTTTCAATATATATATATATTTATTTAACATTTTGTTATAGATTCATATAGATGGGCCATATGGCGAAGCCCATCAAGATTGGAATAAATATCATGTGGCGATAATGGTGGGAGCTGGAATAGGCGTAACACCTTTCGCATCTATATTAAAAGATATAGTTTTTAAATGTAATCACAATTTTGCTTTAGGTTGCAGAAAGGTAATAATAAATGATATATTGAGATAATACAAATAATTAATAATCTTGTAGCTATGATAATAGTATTAAAATAAAAATTTATTTTTCTAGGTATATTTTATATGGGTAACAAGAACACAAAAACAATTTGAATGGATGGTCGACATACTTAGAGAACTAGAAAAATCTGATATAAACAATTCTGTATCTGCACACATTTTTATTACTCAATTCTATCAAAAATTTGATTTGCGTACCATCTTATTGGTAAAATATATCTTCTAAATGAATAATTTTTAGATAATATGTGTAATGACTTTTTATAGACATATGTTAATTTAAATTTTCATATCTTTCAGTATATATGCGAACGTCACTTTCAAAGAATATACAACAAGTCTCTTTTTACTGGTTTAATGGCAATCACACATTTTGGAAAACCTAAGTTTTATCAGTTTTTTAAATCAATTCAAAAATTACATCCTAATGTAAGTATAACAAACAAATTTCTACAATATTAAATTATTATAATAATTTTATCTTAAATTTTGTTCAGGTTAATAAAATTGGTGTATTTAGTTGTGGTTCGCCATCAGTTATTCATTCAATCGATATGGCTTGTAAAGCACTTAATTTAAAAAAATGTAATAACACGTTGTTTCAACATAAATATAAAAGTTTTTAAATCTTTTTAATATATATTTAGAGATAATATTGTATACATATGATATAAATTGAATATCACTTAAAATAAAATATTTAATATTATGAAAATTACCTGACCAAAAAGGAAGTAAATGAAACCCAGTAGCCATGAATATATGATTATTAAATGTTAGTAACTTAAATACACTTAAATATTCTCACTTTAATCACACCGATAAAACAATAACATATGACAGCAGCCATCTTTAAAGATACAATTATAAGAATGAATTTTTACGTGAAATCGATATGGTAGGAATTGAGCTTATATAAGAGTGCTTATATCAATGTATACTGTTCTGTCGTTAAATTTGGTTAACTGTTTTTACCAAATGCAGTATAGCAAAAGAAACAAGTTTCTTATTGATAATACATGGAACTAATGTAGGTAACATTACCAACCATAAATAAAGTGAAATCGAATTTCAGGAATGATTAATTAATAACATTAATAAATATTAATATGAAAAGAGAAATTAATAAAAAAATTATTACATATAAATACAGTATTTTTTGATAGTTTGTACCATCATCGAGTTAAGTACCTACTGTCGCTCTCTGTTGGTTAGGTTACTAACTAAGATGAATCTAGTTAGGAAAAAAGTGGATTTGTGAGCTACTATGTGCTTCTGTATTCTTTGGTTTTTAAATGCCTGTGTATTGATCGAATTGCATAAAGCTTACAGAAAACGTATCTGAACTATTATTTATATTGTATAATGGATATTGATAATCCAACTCCACAAGATCTTCAAAGAAAATTATATTTTTTAGTTGAACAACTTCAGCATATGGCTGGAGAACTCCCACCGAAATATCAAATGAGACTTCCTTACGAATTGTTATCTGCCTTAGCAAATTCTTTATTAAATGACACCATTTTTGAGATTGTCAAAGGTTTAATGGAAATACAACATGTTACTGAAAAACATTTATTTCAGCAAAGATTGCAACTTTTAAATCAACAAAAAATAGAAACTCAAGAATCATTGTCAAAAGTAACAACGGATGAGGAAAGAATGGCAATAAAAGCTGCACTTTATAAAAAACACAAAGATGAGTTGAAACAAATAGATATGAAACTGGTATTGCAATTAGATCAAAAGGTATCAGATCAACAAAGTATATTAGAAAAAGCTGGTGTACCTGGATTTGAAGTAACAAATAATCCAATTGAAATTCAAGTACAAATGAGGTTATGTGATTTTATAATAAGATTAAGTAAAATGGAAGTACCAAGGTAATTTCAACTTTTTAAATTATTTTGTTTACCTTAATTAATATTAAACTTCAATTTTTTATACATATAATATATTACAATATTATTATAATAATTAAATATATATAATTTAAACGATAATATATTAAACGACATTATTTTATAAAAATACTTTTTTTATGTATAAAAAGTTCATAAAAATATTTAGTAATTTTTATAAATAAAAAAATGAGTATTGTTTACATCATTATTATAAATAGTATAAATTTAATCTCATTCTTATTAGCAAAAATATCTCTCACCTTGTATAAGTAGGTGTAAAAGAAAAACATGAAAAAATTGTAAGAAATTTAAAATTCCCATGAATCCATCCATCGTAAAGAATGCATAGAGCTTTCAGGATCAGATGCAGCAGGTCCCTCCATTCCATAAGCCAACGGCGAAAATAAATAAAAGCTATAAATACGTATTACATATTAAATACATAAAAAACAATGTATTATATAAATTCGCTATTAACAATTTGAGTTCCAAGTGTCTTTGGAATAATCTCACTAAAAAGACTCAAGCAGAGCAATAGCGTTTGTCTCAATTTATATCAAGAAGATTCAAACAACGTTATTCTGTCTTTTTTTATTAAAACGACTGGCAAGTATTAGTAAAGTAAAACATACCAACTTTGGTAGAATTCTAGAGCACCATCAGTTGTGCACAATGATCAAATGTAGAAGATCTTTTCGACATGAAATTTAAGGAGTGCAATTGCACTGCTTGTGATTCAAACGGTTAAATATATTTACCTGTATATCGTAATAGAAATAACGGTACCCATTATAATATGATAAATAGTATTTCCTACTTTATTAGGCAATAATATTTGTAAACTTTCAATGATGTAATTTAAAGTAACGCCGGTTAACATTGAGCTATATAACAATGCTGGAAAATAATGATGGAAGTATAATACTCTACTCATAGCCCAAAATGGTGCATAATGTAAAAACCATCCAACAAAAAGCCATTTTCCAGCTTCCATTATTTTCTCCCTTTGCTGAAGTGTTAAAGGATCCTCTATGCAACCTCTTTGTTCTCTTATACACGCGTGTATATATAACGTAATAAACATTATAAGAAATATTATATTTCCCCACCATATAACAGGATTACCAAGCAAATAGACCCTCTGATTATTGCCAGAGAAGAATTGACCCTAAAATTAGTATTTAATTAGTAACTTTTATCAAATCTTTCATTTGTCTATTATATTAATCTGTGATAATAAATACTCTATAATTAATAGGCCATTGCCAAGGTTGAGAAGATACTTCTCCTTCTTTCACTTTGAGATCTGAATTTCCTTGCAACATGACAGCATGTGATTCCAAAAATCTATCAAGGAATCCAGGTGCATAAACTTGAAAACTTACATTGGGTACTGTAAATGATATTTAAAATTATTAATATTAAATCTAGTATATATATTAAGAATTTCTTATAAAATAAATCGAATACTTACATTTAGTATAATTATTATCTTCTATGTTCCATAATGCATTTTTGTCTCTCATATTTGGATTACATGACACCTCTTGTTGATTATATCCCCTAAAATAATAATATACATATTAATAATATATTTTTATAATAATTCTTTATTAATTCTTGTTGTTTTCCTCGCATACTAACCATTTTGGTAATGTCTTTCCACTACATGTTAATACACAATGATGAAGATAGTGAACAAATTTTAACTTACTTGTAACAGTTTCAACTATATCACCATCTTTACCATTTGCTATCAATATTTTCCAAACGTCATTGGCATCTCCTGTACCATTCTGGAAAATAGATAATGATAATAATAATTATTATTATCAATTAAAATGACAAATATTTAAGGACCCTATGCCATTGTACAGTTCGCGCACCCATAAATGCAACTTCGAATACAATATTGAATAATTAATTCACAAAATACTTACCTCACCATATCCTGTTACTTGGTAATGTTTTTTAGAAATAGGTGCAATTTCTTTATGAGAATGTAAATTTCGTTTTGTAATAACATGTTCCAAACGTATAAGATCACCCTGTTTTACCAATACTGGTTCAGACGGAATGTCATCGGTATCATACTTTTTTATCAACCAAAGATTATTATCGTCTTTATGAGAATAAGTTGTTATCTAGAAATAAAATAAAACTATTATTTTATTTAATAAATTCGAGCTTGCATTCTTATAAAAATCTTATGTATAAGAAACCTGTTGCTGTCTGGCACCAACTTCTTCGGGATATAGATGCCAATGAGAATGTAAATATCCTCCACCTGTACGATGATTCTTTAAAGTAATAGTAGCACCATATGCTAATTGTCGTGGCATAGTTGCATTGTACAAAGAATTTCCTTTTAATAATGATTGAAATTCCGAACTATAAAATCCATCTCCACTTCCGCTGAATCAAAAAAATATATTTGTTAAATAATAATGACTTTTTGTATTATGTAAATAATAAAATCGATGATCTCACCTTTTATTTAAAACTTGAAGATGAATGTAGAAAAATAACATGTAAAGAAATACTGGTAACATAATAAGACAACAAAATCTTGCCATCAAATGTTTGCTCACATAAGACTGGAAGACAAAATATTTTATATTTTTTATATTTTCTATTACAAATAAAATAAATTATATATGTAAATGGATTGAAAAGTTTTGAGTTTAATATAGTAACAATATTTTGTTTCTGTTAAACTTATCTTTTATTTAAAAAGAACTACATTTTTTTATTGTCAGAGTTAAAAAGTTTTCAATCCAATCTCATATATTTTTACCCTATAATAAATGAAAAGAAAAATAATGCTTACAATGGGTTTCGTTAAGTCCCCTAATTCTCGCCATAATTCGTTTATGGTATAAAGACCAACTAGCAAGACAACAAACAGACCAACAAATTTAACGCTAATTGTGCATGCAAGAGATACACCTGTAAATATTAGCCAACTCCACCAAGAAGATGTAAATGGTTGATGGCGAAGAGAACCAATACGAGTCATTCCCCAAGTTGCGCACATCATAAAACATAATAATATTGGATCCAGAAGAATATACTGATTTAAAGTCAATAGACCAACATCTACAATCAAATTCATTATTATGATTAAAAGTAAACATTTATTTTTATCGATTGGAGATTAAAATTTACCAAAAAGAATAAATACTGCAGAAAGCATTGCTGCATTAGTAGATTTTGTTAAATCCCATACTGTTAGAAATGATAAGGGTACTGTAGTAGCACCTAATAATGTACAAAACTATACAAGAAAAGAAATATATTTGTAAACATTATATTAACCAATTAAATTATTTTTATAATTATTTTACATTTAAAGAAACAAACATAATTACTATTCTCATTCCAACATATTTGACGTTTTCATATTTATCACCTGGCTTTTCAAATGCAAATGTACCATTGTAACCAGTTAAATAACCAGATAATGCGATAAGCATCTAAAATATAATATAAAGATTTTAACTCATAACATTCATGAATATTCACTAATATTTATAACATTTGGAAGATGACAAAATATTTACTTTTCCAAGAGGAGGATGTACATCAAAGAAAAATGTCCTATTTATATACCAACTTCCCATTTTACCAAAATGAGTTTCGTCCCAGCTGCAATGCAATATTATTAAATGCATTATTTATTATAAATAAATATTTTAAGAAAATAAATATATGTTAATGTATTTCTTTTATTTTTTATTTTTACCAGACATGTTGTGGCTCTGTAACTTTATAAAATCTAGTTCCAATTGTAAGAATTATAATAATTCCAAATAACAGCCACCAATTTCTACAAATATACATAAATCATATTATACATTTGTAATTGAATAGTTACCAATGATTAATACATTTGTTTACGTACCGATTTTGTTCATAACATATATTTTCATTTTTAGATGGTAAATGTTTTAATTTTGGAATATTTTCTTCTATAATTGTTTTCATTTTTTATTATTTAATATTATTTTTGTTAAATATAAACAGTTCAGAAAAGTGTGTATATAGTAGACATATTTGAAAAGTGCATATATATATAAAAATGCCGCGTGGCTGATAAGTGAAATACCAACTGCAATACAAGATGGACAAAAGTTCCTAAATCATTTAGGAACAATCTAGGAATAAAATAACAATCAAATTACTATAAATTACTGTAATTATATATAACAATATTCAAATTTGCGTAGCATAAATTTAAAATATATTTAACAAATTATATTTAATAGGTATCTGTGGACAATATTTCTAGGATATCGTAAAAAACAATTCTTGACTTAATATAAAATTTATTTTTTCTTAAATATATAAAATTGCTTCTTGTTTTTTACATGAAAAATATTATTTGGCGCAAACACCAAAGGGAAACAATCAACTTCAAATTATAGAAATAAAGTCATATTATAAAATATGACTATATTGTGTGTATAAAACACTATGCACAAACGATAAGATGCAATAATTAATCTGTAAGATAATTAATTATTTACTTGTTTTATTTTGTTCTAATGGTATAATAACAATACAATTCTTAGCTTCTGATATATGCCACCATCTACCAAGTCTATGTTCTTTACCGACACCAGCAATTAGATTATTGCCATCTGATGTAAATAATAGAGAATTTATGAATCCTACTAATTTAATTGTAAACAATGGATGCAGCGATTTAAACGAATCACCACATCGCCACAACTTGATCTCACCGTTTTTAGAACCTAATTAAAAGAAAAACATTTAATGATTTGCACGCATTATAATAAAAGTAAAATATATACAAGAATATTGAGATATAAATAATAGATATTTTATGAAGAAATGTCATACCAGATGCAACTAAATCAGTATTCAAAAACGTTGCTATACTTGTTATCCAATTAGGTTCATCATTACTGTCGTCTTTTCCATGTGCTTCTGGTATAGAGCATAAAGGTTTCTTTTTATGAGAACCCCATATGCAAAGTGAGCCATCATCACTGCCACTGAAAAAGTTCTCTTCATTGATAAGTTTAACTATACCTATGCTGCTACTATCGCCGTTAAAAATTAACTGGGATTCTTCAACAATTTTCCATACTCTAATTGTTCCATCAAATCCGCCACTAGTTATGGCACGTTCTCTTGACAAAGCGTCAATCGATGTGATACCACTTTGATGTCCAAATCTAACAATAAAAGTGCATTATAAATATACAAATTTATGCGAAAATATTAATTCATAAGATGTTAACATATACTTACAATGATTCAACATACGCCATATCGTCCAAATTCCAAACTTTTACACTTCTATCATCAGATGCAGAATAAAGTGTGTGTGTGTCTTTTCGAAACACTAGACCAGTTACTATATCTCTATGGCCTTGTAAATTTTTGAGAAAATTTAAACTTTCTCCAGAAAATACTTTGATTTCTTTACAGCCACCGTCTCCTGCAACCTAAAATATTATTCATGAATTAGAAACATAGATATGTCGAATATATAAAATCTATATTTAAAACATAATATACTATATTGCTTTTCTTACCAAAAATTTTCCATCTGTACTAATTGCTATACAGTTAACCGATTTCATTCCTTCCTGCCCTTTATTTTTTCCTTTTATAATTTTTAATTTAGTTCTTTCCTTTAATGACCCTATTATCAATGAAATAATATAAATTACATTGCTTTTTTATTAAATATTTGTTAATTAATGTTTTTAATTAAACAAATTTTAATAAAAACTTACATTTAATTAAACTACCATCTTTAGAACCCGAATATAAAATGTTCCCTTTACTATAAAGACATAAACAAGTAATAGAATCTCTGTGATCTTTACACTTCAATATTATAGGATCTTGATGACCAACATAATGTTCAGCTACTGTTTTTCTGAGATATCCCTTTTCTTCCAAATATTCATCCTTTAATCTTTTCTCAACCGCTCCTTCCTCAAACTCTGCTCTATCTTTCTCTACACACATATTGGATCAAAATATATAATACATTAATAACATGTAGATATTTATATACGCATAATGTTACAATTCATATTTAATTTACTAACCTTCTTCCTCAATGTGTTTAAGATAGGTTTTAGCCAATCTAATACGTTTTTCTTGTGCGGTTTCTTCACTTTCTGACTCACTTTCGAATTCTGGAAATTCTTCACTGCAAAACAAAAAATATTTTATATTTTGTACTTTTTATTATTATGCACTTGCACATGAAAAAAAGATCACAATAAATTTCATCATATTTTAGCACATAGATCAAATCCTATTTATCATTCTTGAACTATACGATTACACTTACTTTTGATTCTCTTCTGCAAGTTCTTCGTCATCACTTGGTATACTTTCATTGTCAGGTATAGATTTTTTTACATTTTTTTTCTCTTTGAAAGCAGATAAACTTTTATTTTTATTTTTATTTTCAAAACGTCCATTGTACTGAAAAATAAATAATATTTCATTTAAATATACTATATTATGAATACATACAATTTTTATTTATTGATAGTTTATACATTAAATATAACATTCGATTAAATTTTAATTGTTTAAATTGAAAGTCATTTTAGTGAATACACTAAATTATTTATTTATCATAAACTGCATAACTCTAACCTATAATAATAACCTATAATAAGCAATTAAAAATCTTTTAATTTATTAATGTACAAATATTAATAATTTACTTTTCTTTTAACTCCACCCTTGGCGTGATTGTTTCTAATAAAAAATGACATTTTTACGTTAAAGTAATGTAAATTACCACAATTTAAAAATAAAATTTAAATTTCTAAATTTATTTCAAATAGAAGCACATGGTAGAAACCATTCAATTTGTTGTTGCCATAGAAAGTTTAAAGTAGATTAGTGGTTCCCAAAGTGGGCGATATCGCGCCCTGGTGGCCGATTTTAAGGACCACGGGGCTTAAAGTAAGGGGGCAAGGGGGCGATAGGACAAAAAAGTAAGTTTGAGAAACACTGAAGTAGATGGTAGCACGTGCGAACTACGTGTTCGGCTAGGGTATTTTACAAATAATTTCTTATAAAACATTATTTGTTACGCATATATATATAGATAACCCCACAATCTTGTATAAATCTGCTGTAACATATAAATATAATAAAAAAAAAAAAAATTAAAACTAATCATGTCGAAGAAGAAAGCAGTGCTTATGGTCTGTTTAGGTATATTTTTATAATTTTTCTTTAATAAGTTTAATTATTTCACCATATATATAATATATAATCTCATATTAAACATTTATCTCTTTATTTTTAAAGGAAATATTTGTCGCTCTCCAATTGCAGAAGCTATTTTTGATGATAAAATTAAAACGATGGGTTTAAATGATCGATGGGAAGTTGATAGCGCAGCTATTATAGGATATCATACTGGTAAAAATCCTGATCCGAGAGCTATCTCTGTATTGAAAGAAAAAGGAATTACTAACTATTCTCATAGTGCTAGAAAGGTATATAAAGTTTTTAGTAAATAATATAATGCAATATAATATCTGCTTTAATATTTATTGAATATGAAAAAATACCATATATTGTTTGTTAATTATAGATTACGCCAGGCGATTTTGATAAGTATGATTGGATATTTGGGATGGACCATGAAAACATAGCAACCCTAAATGATTTAAAACCGCCGAATAGTAAAGCAGTAGTTGATTATCTTGGGAAATATGATCCATTAAATGAACTAATAATACGTGATCCTTATTATGATGTACATTATCATATTCTTCGTATTCTTAAATATTTATTTATTTATTTAAATATAATTTAACTAGTCTTATAATTGTTTTTATTTTTATAGAATCATAACGATGGATTTGAGGCGGTGTTTAATCAGTGCACAAGATGTATAACAGCCTTTTTAGAAAAACATGAAGGTATTTAATGTTTATGACTAATTATATCATTTTTGCTATTGCATAATGTTATGTTAATTTAGACTAAAGATACAATAGTTATTTAAATAATATTTAAAATTTATTCTATCTAATTTATCTTATAATTATATTCATTATATTCATTATATTACTTACATAATAAGTAATTTTAATTTTTCAATAGAATAAAAACGTTTATAAAAAAATAGAAAAAACTTGAAACGTTCTATAATATAAAAGCATCCTATTTTCCATTGTATTTTTCATGAAAGTAATATAACATATTGTAGGAAGATAGAAAAAAGAATGGAAATAAAGAAAACATACTTTACAATAACAAAGGCGAGAAATAGAATTAAAATTACAATTAAATAAAAAATAAAAGTCGTCCCAGTGATATAGCGATAACGAGTTCGCACTGTTACGCTACTAATGGCTCATGCTAACTGTCTAAACAAACTATTATATAAGAATGTTAGTAAAACTTCTTTCCTCATTTTTTCGGAAACGGTTGGATATTATATCCTACTTCTAAAGTGTAATGTATAATTCTAATGGACTTTTAAAAATATATAAAGTTCAACAAAAAAAAAATCTGGAAAGGACAATACTTTCACAGCCTTTGTAAGTAAAACAAACCACAACAAATTGTAAAAGGTTAGAAACAAGGAGACAGCGAATATTCCGGAAATAAACAGTCTAGTTATCCATTATCAAATGAGAATGTCATAGTACGCAAAAAGTTTAATTTAGAATAAAAAGTCTGTAATTTTGTAGAATATGGCAAAAAGGAATAAAGTACTTATGGTTTGTTTAGGTAAGATTGTAATTATGATATTTATATATATGGATTAATTATGGAATTATTATGAAATTGTTAATAACATTGTAGGAAATAGTTGTCGGTCTCCAATAGCTGAGGCAGTTTTTAATGAACAAATTAAAAAAATGAATTTACTTAATTATTGGGAAGCAAATAGTGCAGCAATTCTGAAATATCATATAGACAATCCACCTGAACCAAGAGCTATGTCAACACTTCATAAACATGGAATTACTGAGTATTCTCATGTAGCAAGACTCGTAAGAATATTTGATGTAAAATTTATACAAAATGTTTTTGAAAGAAGTATTTAAAAAGAAGTAAATCAAAAGACTGGCCCAAACAACTCATAAAACAAAGTAGTAAAGGGTTTTTAATGCAAAGTATTCTTTTTACTTACCATAACTGTTCACTAACAAAAGAACTGCTTATTGATCTTTGAAGAAAATAATATATATAGATTGTAGTTTAAGTTATAAAAAAAAAATATTAATATTATAATTCTTATTATTTTAGCTTACAAAAGCTGATTTTAATGAATATGATTGGATTTTTGGAATGGATGGTTATATAATGGAATGTTTATATCATTATAGACCAAAAAATAGTAAAGCAATTGTTGAAATTTTAGGAAAATATGATCCCAATGGAGAAATGAATATAAAGGATCCACTATTTGTACGTAATTTTCAATAATGTAATCTTTAATTACATCTTATCAAAAAATAACTTTTATATCAATTTATATATTATTACTTTATTTAGGATGATGATAGTCATGGATTTGAAAAAGCATATGAACAGTCTTTAAGAAGTATACAATCATTTTTAATACATCATCAAAATAAAGAAAATTAAACATATTTTTATTTAACTTTTCGACCAGAAACATAAACTTCCAAAATATTACGATCATCTCCAGAATATATAAATCTTTGTAATTGCTCTTCTAATGTATAACTCATTAAATTGTCTATTGGGCTATCATTAACATTCATATTTATTACAAGTGCATCAAATTGTTTACCAGGCATTAAATTACCTACCTCCTCGTCGATTCCTAATGCTGAAATATATAAAGATATTGAAGGATACTAAGGTAAATCATTGAATATCGAATAAAAATACTTACATATAGCACCACCTAAAGTAGCCATATAAAAAACTTCTTTATAATCAAGACTAATATAATCATTTTTAATTGTAGCAAGGTTGTTTGACACCGCTAATGCAGATCTCATTGCTTCTACCATACTGGAGCTTTGTCCTCCGGCTACATCTAGTAAGAAAATAATTATATATTTTCTATGTGTAAATTTATCTGACATCGTATAAAAACTTTATAAAAAAAGAAAGAATAATATTATCAATACCTGTTCCTAGTCCTACTTTAAGTCCTTGTGAAATTAATTTTCGTACATCGCACATACCACTTTTTAAACATGTATTGGATGATGGACAATGTATAACTGCTGTATCATTTTGTCTGACAAGCGCTATTTCACTGTCCGTAAGGTATATTGCATGAGCTAATATCGTCTAAGAAAAATGATTTAAATTTAATTGGACAAATGATGTTTTCATATTACATTTTATTATTTACCTTGTCAGTTAAAAGCCCAGCTGCGTTATATACACTGGCGTAAGATGTATAGTCCTTGAACATGTTTAGTACTGCTTTAATTTCATCTAGATTTTCCGAAATATGTGTCTAAAATAATAATATTTTTATGTTTATAAAAAAAATTTAAATTGCGCTTCATAATAATTATTTATAAATACCTGTATACGAAGATTTTTATTTTTAGCTAGCAAACCCAATTCTATCATCAATTTCATATCACAACTTAAAGCAAATCTTGGTGTAATGATTGGTTTTATAAGAGGATTCTACAATTGAAATTTTCTTGTTCAAATATTAAGATTTAAATCATTTTACTATCATAGTTTTATTGTTGAAAAAATTATTTTTTAATGCTTACGTTTAAAGCGTTAATATCATCTACAAATTGTACAGTATTTTTTATAGAATCTACCGTATTTTCACAATAACCATCATCGCGGTCTATATTCATATTTACTTTTCCTATAAAAGCACGTTGGCCATATTTTGAAACTGCTTGTGCTAATTCCATACATGCCTTTCCATATAAAGATGCAAAATAACATGCTGTTGTTGTACCCATATCCAGTGTACGTTTCTATATATATATATATATATATATATATGAGCATTTATGAACATTACAAACAATATATATTTTATTTATTAAATAAACATATTTTAATTATAAGAGATTAAAATGAGAACTAAATTCTACATACCACAACAGTTTTAAATACATGTTTAGCAAAATTCTCATCGACATATTTTTTTTCTAATGGGAAAGTATACTTTTCTAACCAGTCTAATAGATTTCTATCATAACCCAAACCAAGATTAGGAAATTGAACAGCATGGGTATGACAATCAATAAGACCTGGTATTAAGAATTCATGCTCGTTTAAATACGTTACATGATCAGCTTTAATTGTACTAAGATTTGGATTAACAATAACATCGGTTATCTGTAAATTGAAAATAAATTATTCAAATTGCGATAATTAATTGGATGTTAATTTCATTGGAATACAAAAAATATGATAAATATATTTTGTTGACATTGTATAGAAAATATTATTATGTATACCTTGCCATTTTCTACCAGTACTGCGGCTTGTTTAATTACAAGTAATTCCCTTTTTTTGTTACAATGCACCAAGGAACCAACGAATAATCGACTTGACATATTGTAGAGAATGGTTTTTATAATCCTTCAAAAATAGTGATGTTAACTGAAAAAATATGAATAAAAGTTAATATCACATATTTGGATAATTTTCTATTATACGCAATTAAAAAAAAAAAAACAAGAACAAAAAATATTTCATATAAAATTAATAATTAATAATTATTTCAATAGTTTATAATACATTAACTATATTTATTTTATTAGTGTAAGACTACTTGTTAATCGCTAATTCAACCAACAATATCCTATTTCTAATAATTATAAGAATGAAGTTTCTAATAAACAAAACATTATTGAATGAATTAACTTATGTATGTTCTAAAATGATCTTACGATAAAAGTTATTATCTCTATTTATTATCTATTTTCTATTATCTCTAATGTCTCCATTAAAAAAACAAACGGTCAAAGTTACGCACGGGTGACTATCATGGTACCAAATGAAAAAACAAACACAAATCAAGGTTTTTATAAGGGTTGCAACAGGATATTTTAATTATTTTGTTTCTTTTTTCATAATTTCTACGAGAAAAATTCAAAGGGATATGAATAATACGTGGAAGAAATATTGATCAAATATATCATAGCAACAAGATAGTTTTTCGATTTGTATTCCTTTCGTGAAACTAATCCATTGCGCTATCTCAATCGAGAGATAATTATCATTTGTTTATTTGCAAGTAAATTTGTTAAGAATATAAAATATGGAAAATAAAAAAGAAAAGAAACGTGAAAAAATGAAAAAAAGCGATAAATTAATATCCGATCCACATCGGGAATATTTGGATATGAATACCGATGAAGAAGGCTACGAAAGACATGGTAAAATAAAATGATTGTTTATATTATAATTTAGATGATTATTTCTATTTTTAACTGAACTGTTAAGTTCATTTGATGCGATATAATAAGAAGAAATACAAATTTATCGTTTAAATCTCAATCATGCACGTTGTGCATGTTTTTTAAACTCAAAACATTGACATCATATCTTTTTATAGAATTAATTACAATTTATTACGCAACAGTTGAAAACCAGGTCGTCATTTATTGATAATAAAATATTACTAATTATTTATTTATAAATGACTATAATTATAATTTCATTTACGTATTCTTAATTGTTCAAAAATATGAAATCTGAAGTCCCTCCATTAATTCGAAAAATATGTTTTAATTTTATTTCCTAAATGATAACAGTTTTATCAATCTTAATGAATGTAATTTAATGGTAATAATTATCAATTGTATTAGAAAATTATTATATGATTTAATATATTTATAAAATATATAATTACAGAAAGTTCCGAGAGTGAAGAAGAAACTTCTTCCGAACCAGAAAATCCTATCTATACTGAACAACAACTGATAACGCTAGTCAGTATCATGAATTATTGGGCGGGAAAATTTAAATTATATTAAAAAAATCATTTGTATCCGAATGCGCTTATATTTTTAATTAATTCATTTAAAAGTTTGATTATATTTTAAATCATAAAGATATCTTTTTTAGGTACAATATATAAAAGATTTGACTGTATTATCTCATCTTAAGGAATCAGATTGGAATGAAAATTGTTACGAAGTTATAAAAGAATATTTTCAATGCGTAACTCATAATACATTGATTATATTTTTCAATCAAAATAAATTGATCGCATCTTTAAATTTTAACAATTGCAGAGACGTAGAAGTCATGTATTTTTTAAGATCACCGTTACATATCTACACGCCTGATAACTTTTTTAAAACTATTCTATGCGGAAATATCAACAGAGATAAAATAAAATCAATTTTTAAATTTTTAATAAATATATACGCACCTGTTGCTTTGAACAGTAAAGAATGGCCAAAAAGTATTTCTTTATATTACATTTATCATTTAATATTAATAAATAAAATAATAAGATTCTTAACAATTCTATTTTAGTTATACAGAATGATTTATATTTGAATTTACACGATCTTTTAATGATTCTAAATGATCGGCTTTGTAAATCAATAAATAGAACAATTTTGTACGTACCCAGAGAACGTTTACCTAAATTACAAGGATTTCGATTATTTTATGAAAATGATTCCGTAATTATAGACGAAAAAGATTCTATCCTATTAACGCAAGAGTTTCATATTAAAGAATTCATTGGAAGATTGGAAAAAATAGTCAGATGTTGGATCAAGCAAATACATACAGCTTTGGCTAGTATGACTATTAGAAAAAATATTGAAAGTATAATGGATGAACGGAATCATTGGAAAAATGTTTGTCAGTTCAATCTCTCTCTTTCTTTCTTATTATTATTATTATCGTAGCAATATATTGAATATACTATAAAATATATGATATTCATTATAATATCATATTTGTATGTATATTTTCAGATGATAATTTAAATTCTTTAAATCATCAATTATCGAATAACGAAGTCCAAGGAATAATCAAATTATTAAGAAATATCAATTCATCTAGTGTAGAATCATTTCCAATGTATATTAACAAAATACAGGAAGCATTGATAGAATCTTCATCTAATTTAATATACTTAAACATTTTATCTGAATATTGTACTAATTTATTTATTTCCAATGACTTGGAAACTAATGCAACAAAGATATTTCTTCTGATATTGGTCATTTGGGTGGAATCACATTTTTACAGTATAACGTATATAGAATTATTAAATAATTAATTTACTAAAATATATCTATAACATTTATTAGAGAATTATACGACTTTAACATGAAATTTGTATTTTTATAGAAATAATATAGAATCCCTTTGTCGAGCATTAAGTATACAGTTAATATCTCAATGTCAATGTTGCATAGATTTAGAAAGTGCAATTAAGGAACACGCCGAAAGTGGGATACACATGCTAAAGAAATCTATATCTACTTGTGAGATGTATAAAAAGATTTACGAGAAAGTAAGAATATATATTTTTTCATCATAACATCTATAGTAATCTGGTGAATGTTTTGTAGTTTGTTAAAAAAATAGCAACATCCGTCAGTCCTAACAAAATATGGAATATAGATGAGCAATTAATTTTTAATAATATTAATGCATTTATACAAAGATGTCATGACATAATTGAAATTTGTAATGCACGAATTATTTTTGAAAGGTAATGTTTAATACATCCAATATTTGACTTTTTAAAAATATTATTTATATTATTATTATATTACTTATATTATTATAGGTGTACCAAAGCAAGAACATTCGGAGGAGCAAAAGGATTAGAATATGAAACATGTTGTCAACAAATTGAAAATCTATTTTATGATCATTTAAGCAAGATCATTGCAATTCAAGAAAATTTATTAAACATTGAAAATACTAAGTGCAATATTGCTATAGATAAATTTAGAAGAGCTACAATACAATTAGAAAATATGATCAAAAATTTAATTAATCGCATTTTTGAAAACATTAAAAACATTGACGAAGGCATTGAAGCGATATATGCTCTTGAAAGATTTAAATATCGAAAATCTTTAAAAGATTTAATACATGAAAAATGGGAACAGGTGAACTATTTACGAAATAAAAAATATATATTTGTTATTTAATGCATTTGTTAGTTATGATTTTATTATGTACTTAGGTGTGGAAAATTTTAAATGAAGAAATAGAAATGTGCAATGTAACTAAAATTATAGAAATAGGTGAATATCATCCGCTTATTAAATCCTTTTCTAATTATTCCAAAGAACGATACACAAACAAATATTATTTAAAAATGCAATTTACAAAAATGGTAAATGCATCTTATTGGCTGGGAGATTGTGTAGCTGAAAGGTATATATTGGGTCTACAAGTAAGTTTCCAGCGTTTTTTAATTTCATGTGTCATTTTCGAACCTTGTGTATCTGTTAACAATATTGCATCATCATATTTGTGCATTTCTATCGGCGTCGTATATTTTATGAAGCAAAAACATGGCAAGTTATGTGCCAAATAAGCGTCATTTGCGGAAAGCGCTGCTTCTATTCTTTAATATGAAGAAAAGTGTAGCTGAGGCCTATCGTTTACTGGAAACTTACGGGTGGAATGTATTGGTGAATCGACGTGTCGTGAGTGGTTCAAACGGTTCAAAAATAGTGATTTTAACGTTGAAAACAAGGAGCGCTCCGGAAAGCCGAAAAATTTTGAAGACGAGGAATTGGAGGCTTTGCTGAATAAGGATCCGCGTCAAATTCAAGAAGAGCTTGCTGCATCATTGGACGTCACGCAACAAGCCATTTCCCTGCGCCTGAAAGCTTTGGGATTCATCCAAAAAGTTGGAAATTAGGTGCCGTACGAGTTGAAGCCGAGAGATGTCGAACGGCGATTTTGCATGTCAGAAATGTTGCTACAGCGGTATAAAAAAAAGTTGTTTCTGCATCGTATTGTCACTGGTGACGAAAAGTGGATATATTATGATAATCCTAAACGCAAAAAAACATATGCAAAGCCTTGCGAGCCGACCAAATCGACGCCGATGCGAAAAATTCACATGAATAAGGTCATGCTCTGCATATGGTGGGATCAGAAGGGTGTCATACACTACGAACTGCTTCCGAATGGTCAAACCATCAAAGGAACATTGTATCGAACCCAACTAATTCGTTTGAAGTGGGCATTAGCGGAAAAACGGCCAGAATATCAGACCAGGCACGAGTCCGTAATTTTTCACCACGACAACGCTCGGCCACATGTTGCTGCTTCGGTCAAAAACTACTTGAATAATAGTGGATGGGAAATTTTGCCTCACCCGCTTTATAGTCCAGATTTGGCGCCATCCAACTACCACTTGTTTCGGTCGATGCAGAACGCTCTTACCGGAATGCGCTTCACTTCAGTAGAAGGAATCAAAAATTGGCTCAATACGTTCTCGGGTTCAAAAGACGAGAACTTTTTTTGGTCCGGAATTCAATAATTGCCAGAAAGATGGAAAAAAATTGTATCTTCCGATGGACAATATTTCGAATGAAAAATATGTAACCATTTTTTCAGAATAAACCTTCAAATTTTATGAAAACGCTGGAAACTTACTTATAGATCCAATACAATATTGTGAAGTAATTGTTTTTTAACTATACTTTTTATAAAGAAAATGTAATGTCATAAAATTTGAATAATTTTAGGTATTCTCTGGAACGGTACAAGGTTGTAATAAATCATTTAAAAGACACTTATACTATTAATGAAATATGAAGCTAATCATGAATTTAAGAATTCTATAAAAATTAACATATATACTAATTACTAACACAATTCTTCACTGTAATTTAACTATCTTTATGAAATAAAATTATATTTTCTTTTATTTTCCATTCATGTACAATATAATTTTTAACATAAATGTATATTTATAATACAAGTATAAAAAATCTATTAGATAATATAAATACAATACTTCATATTTAGATATTGTAATAACGATACTATAAAATTTTAATAATTTTTTGAGGTATACATTTAATAACTAAAATATATGAATTGCATGTTTTATCTATCTTAAATATTACCTACTACTAATAAAAATATATTTATAATATTATATCTTCATATTTCTGATGTATAAAAACAACTTATTAAATGAATTGTTATTATTGTACTTTTTGTATACATACTTTCTGATGCGTGAATATTCATTTGAATTAATTATTACTTTAGTAGGAACTATATCAATGCAAGAAATTGCTACTTTCTTTAAAAAAAAAAATAAATTCATAAGTAAGTAATAACATTTAATAATCATTAAGATAATTTTCTCTATAGAAAAAAAGAATATTTTAAAATTATATATATTAAGCACAATGCACATACTTTTATATAAAACAATTTTTTACTCTAGAAGAGTTAACATCTTCTATATACTATAATCCCTACTATGACATGTTTTCTATTTTATTTTGTATTTTTTTCTATTAACAATCAATTCTATATTCTGTTTAACATACAAAATAGAAACACTTTACAAATGAACATATATGCTCCCTTATTAAAAAAATATACACATATGTGATTTACTAAGGCACAGTCTTTCTATTATATTTAAATATTTTATCACGTTCTAATTTTCCTTGTTATAAACAGAAAATATTCCTATGCTAACAGAGATCTTATTAATTTGCATTAGTAATGATATTATTTTGGCATAATGTAATTATAATTAAATTTTTAATGACAAATTTATCTTTTTTTTTTCTTACCTGGAGGCAATTAATAAATTGTCTTGACCATTTATCACTGTAAATACTGGACTATCGAGATAGTCTTTATAGTCTAACAACTCAGTATCTTCACTGGAAGAACTAATATTTGAGTTATTTAATGGTTGTGTCCGTGCAGGCGGTAACAAAAATAATAAAGATATAGCGATTATCATGTGCCATATGCTATGGATGTACTGTAATCAAATAAATTGATTACCTACAAGATTTATTTAAATAAAATCAAAACATTAATTATGTTTACATACTTGGTAATTCGCTTCTGTCTCAATCATAGAAAAAAGCAGAAAACCTACTCCTGCTAATAGTGAGCCTATTAATAGCTTTGATAATCTATTAGGTCTCTTCCAATTTTTTGTACGGTAACTACGATATATATATGTTCCAACCTACAAGATTTGTATTATAGATAAAAATATATCATTACAGTATTTATAATTAGATATATAATAATTGACTTACTGGTATTATGATACCTATTATCAAGGGTATCGATATACTATTTAAACTTGTTCTATCAGATTGCACTTCAAATGCAATTAGAAGAGCACCAAACATATTGCATAAAGATACTAAATGAATAGGTAATTCTGCCATGGCTACAAGTGTTACCCAAAAAGCTAATATACTTGAAAAAAAGTCGCAGTACTGTAATACCTACATAATCATTTAGAAAAAAATAAAATTAATTTATTTCTATAACTTATTGTTTAGACAAATAATAATATACACATATAGTTAAAAATAAACTTACTTCAAATTTAGTAATACAGTAATTCGTGGTAAGTTGATCACAGGCATGATAAAGAGCAGAAGATAACATGGTAGATAAGTAAATCAATCCTTCTGTATAAAATTCTCGTTTTACAGCTAAATATATAGCTGGTATAAAGAATCCATTACTTAATGTTAACATTAATATTCTTGTAATAACAGAATTTCCAGAATTTGTTGTAATTATATCTGTACAACCCCATCCCTTATATCCTAAATGCATGATAGATAATTATTAATTCATACTTTTAAAATAAATATAAACTTCTTTTGTGCATATTTGATTTTGGGATAAAGCAGTGTTACCTTCATGACAGTTACAAGCTGTATAGACAAGAAGATCTCTATGAATTTCTTGGCAAATCCCATTACGACCACACGAATTTTTACCAGGAAATACACATTGTCTTATATGAACATTCAATGATACTAAAATTTCTTCCATTTCACAATTTACAGGATGACTATAAATAGAGTTATTAAAACATTAAATAATTATAATAGAAATATGTATGTTTATGCAAACATATACAAAATAAGATCTTACTTATTTAAGTAACATGTCGCTTGCAAAGAAATATACCATGTATCCGGTTGTGGATATGGTATTAATATACTTTCGTCATGTTTATTCAACGAAGACAAATTCATAAATAATTTTTCATCTTCACATATAATTTTATTTTCTAATATATTAGATGCATGACCTTTTTGAATGCAAACTGTTACAACAATTAATTGTTTTGTCATCGTCTATTAAAAGTAATGGTGATGTTTAATTAGATTATTTATACATAAATATAACTTACAATAATTTTAATGATATCAAAGTTTCTTACCTTATACATCTCCAAATGAATATTAATGTCAAGAGTACCTCCGATATCTACAAAAGGTAAAATATTAAACTGCGTTATTACCGGATATGAGTCCGTTAAAGCCAACCATGGAGTTAACCATTCTTTTCCCTAAAAAAAAAATATAGTATATAAATAACATAATATAATTATAGCATTGTATCAATCTTTTATTTTTATACATTATTTAAATTAAAAGCATACTTGCAATAAATAACTCGTGGAAAATATTTGAGAATGTTTAACTCTGACAAGTTGATATCTTGGAAAACATTTGTCCTCCGTATTAGAATTTTCTGTTTGTATATAAAACTGATTTGTACGTAGATCCATTAGATTATAAAATGAACTTCTGTTATGGTTCGAAACAGTGGTTTGATTTTGTTTTATATTTGTTTCAGATATTTGTGTAAATTGTTCAGTAATCAATGAATACTGTTCTACATTTTGTTTTCCCATTAATTTAATAGGACATTCTAAAACGATACATTTTATTTTATAAAATATAATTATTTTCAAAATTCAGTTCATTCTTAATTAATTACTGAAGACTTACCTGAAACACTAACTTTGATGTTAAATTCTACAATACTATCTGAGATAATTAACAAGTAATAATAACTATCTTCGTATGGGGAAAATATGGTAAACATATAAGAATCTAGCATGGTTAAATTTCCAATATTGCTTGGAGGAGTATTATTAAATATTGGTAAAACACGACCTTGCAAGGCTACATTTTTAATACATGGTTTATGTACATTGCGTAAAGAATGTACGGTAAAATTACATCCCCAAATGTAGACACGTAAAGTTGATATTCCAGATGGTACATATATTCTAAAGAATATCTAAATAAGTTACTTTCCAATTTTCATCGTTTCATTATTTCATTGTATACATACACTCACTTGTAATAAGAAGACGTTTCTTTAGTTTTTAATGTGGTTTGATAACCAACAGGTACATTTTCTATAGCGCTTGCTTCTACCCATAAAGCTATAGAACCTATGCTATAATGACATTTATGAAAAAGGCCCTAAAATATGAAATTAAATATTTTATAATATCATATCTCTTTTAGGGATAACGAATGAAAATTTATGAACTTACTTGTTGCTGAACTTTTTTATCCCAAGGAGATAAATATGCAGCAACAAACCAATCACCAGCTTGTGGTCCATAAACAGGTATAACAGCTATACTTTCAGGCTCAAAATAAGTATCGGTTGAAATAACCAATGTATCGTTATTAAGTGGATACATATTTGTTGGAAATGTTGTCATATTATCAATTGGTAGGACAGGGTAACTACCCCATCTCAAGTGTCTACAAAATATTATCAAAACTTTAGTCACATGTCCTAAAGTAAATTAAATAAAATAATCTTTTTAAAAAGGCACTAACATATGCACCTTCCTTTGTGGACAATTTGGTTGATCTGTAAATGCTGCAAATTGCCATGTTGCTCTGAAAACTTCCTTTGGTACATTATAATGAAACATTGCTACGTCTGAATAACTTTTAAAGGGTTGTAGTATACTTTCTTGACTTGCTTCTGGTATTATGCATAATGTACCTAAATGTACAATTAAATTAATATAATCCTCTATATCATACATTTTGTTTATATTAAAATTAATGTTGAATAACTTTTGAAATTAACATACCTGGAAGTAAAAATAGTAAATATATTTGAGAAAAAAATGAAAAATAAAAGAAACTTTGGATTGAAAAGACACATTTTTCAAATATGACAGTCATTATATTAACGTCGATTGTAAAAAGTATTGTTAATGTTTAATTAAACACAAGTAAAACAAAGTAAACATTTTATTATAAATATTCTATAAACTTAATATACATATTTATAAACTTGTGGGTGTTCCTAGGTAAAGTTAGGTAGGTTTCCTAGGGACACTGATGTTTGCGCTCCCTATAGTGATTTAATTTTGATTAGAAAAATATTTCTATGATTATTTTATGACGATAATTGCCACGTGTAGATCGAATGCATTTTTCCCGTAGTTAAAATACCGTTTTTTTTTTTTAATTAATAAATGTTCTCTTTAAAGTATAAATAAGTAATCATTATAAAATTCCTTATCACCACGTGCACATTTCAAAAGTTCAATTTAAATCTAGCATTTGCCGCCTATTCAGTTCGATTTATCTCGATATTTTCATATATTTAAAAAAAATAATATTTTACTTATATATATAAATATACTTATATTTGCTATTAATCAATATGTGTACTAATAATCAATGATGAATTATATTTTATAAAGATCATTAATATTTAGAATTAATAAAAATGACTTAATCGATAAAAGATATTTATACTATATAATTAATAAATTAAAATATATTTTAGACTTCGATATCTTCTTCAGCAGCTGGTAAAATAACATTAGTAAACGCAAGAGGCTTTGGTTTGTCTTTTTTGCAAAGTAAAACTTGTACCTTGCCAGAAATTCTATTAGTTAATGTAGCGTCAACAGTTATCGGGATTGGTATACCACTAAGTAATAAAGGCAAGTTGACAACGCGTGGATCAACTTCGGTATTTTCTCCTCTACAAACAATAAACAATCCAGTATCAGATAATCCATCTGAAATATTGGTGATCAATATTTGAATTCTATAATTAGGTCCTAAACCAAGGACATTAGCCTCCAGTGAAATTGGATCGACTCCAGTATTTTCACAACCAGTTAAAAGATCAACAGCATTTTTGGCGATGATTAAACGTAGCCGTAAAAATCCTTGCTGAAAAGTATTATGAATTTTTTTGGCTTCCGATCTTTCTCTTATTGTTTGCTCAACAAAAAGACGCGTTTTTTTTGGTATAGCAAATTTGGTAGCATTGTTTGGTGTTACAGAAAATGTTGTATTATATATACTAAAATCAGCAGTTCGTTTTAATATTTTTACGCAGAGACCACCACTGATGGTTACCATAGCCATCGTTCGTTCCTCTTGTCCCATTCTTCCATACTGTAAATCATTCCCTTTCTCAGTAATATCTAATTAACAGTATTGTATACAATAGTAAATAAAAATATACCTTTATTGCAGATACTGGTTCCATTGTTTTAATCGTATCAACATGGTGTTTACCATCGTATATCCGTACACCATATCCAACCGTACTGACAGCCAGTAAAGAGAGTCCACTTTGTGGTACTGGCAAACTTACCATGTCTAAAATAATACCCGGAACATTGATGCTCCATACTTTAACACCCTATAAAAATAATATGTATAATTATGCATATTTTTCATTGTTAAACATTTTTCTTTTTTAATTATTACCTTTTTTGAAAATCCTAATAAAGTTCCATCCATTATAGCGACTGCCGCACCATCACCACTAAGAACGGAAACGGCAACGATCGGAGCTTCAAGTTTTTCCCAAAGTTTAACAGGACTTCCCCTTCGTATCGCTCCAATATTTCCATCTCTACCAATTACCATGATTCGACCATCACCTGCCCATAAACCAGTAGTTGCAAATGATACAGGTGGCCACTTTAAGAGGTGTTTATCCATAACGGTAAATGCTCTGAAAGGTACAAAGAAAAAAAAGTAAAAATGCAAATGATTCTAATGAAAGAAATTAAGATACAATTCTTTTACCTTGGATCCAATACAAAAATCTCTTTATTTTCTGTACCTATAATAAGGCAACTACAAGCAGGATCATTCCAGGAATCCTTTCTGATAACACCAAGTGCAGTAACAGCATTATTTTTAATTAAAGGAACCCTTCTGTATTGTTCCGCAAAACTCATACGTAAATTCACATCCATTGTTAAGAATTTTAATGTACGCGGAGATATTGCAGCTGCACCGAGTTCTTTCAACAATGAATCTAGATCATCAGCCAATGTTAATACGTTTAATTCTTCGTCGAGACCAGCCTTGTGCCATATCTGAAGGAAGCTCAGGTGTATCGTGCAAGGCAAATAATATTAATTATACATTAAAAGTATACACAAATATTATTTTTAATCTTAGACGCACTTCTCGCTCTTTAGGATGAGCTTCGAGATGTGGTAAACAATATTTAAAGAATGGTCTCAAGTTCTTAAAAATATAAACACTGGAACCAGCTCCTGCTGCTAATACAGCTGATTTGGGTTCACCGTTTTCTGTATAAAATCCAGCAACTCCACAAGGTGCATCCATCATATTATGCTCTGTTACTTGATCACTACCTTTGTAAACACGTATCTAAAAATAATATACAATTACTTATCATGAACAGAGAAAACGAGAGTCGTAATATCAAAAGGTTTGATATTTGAAATAAATACCTTTGCCGAAGTAGCGTTAATGGATCCAAAATCAGTGGATATAAGACGCACATCTCCATCACCGATTACATCAAGCATATCAAGGCCACCAGGAAGAGTATAAATTTTAGCACTTGGTTCCCAAATTGCTTCCAACCATCTGCTTGTTCCAAGGCCACCACCTGAATTATGATCTGCCCTGAAAATAATAGATTTTTTAAATATACGAATTAGATATAAGAGATTAATTTATTCTTACCTTAATCCGTGCATCTTAAAATTTCATCAAATATATTTTGTAAATGTTTACTTAAGATTAAATGATCAAAATATATACATATGTTTATATAATCTCAATACTTTTCATAATGTTAAAAGAGCAAGTAATTGCGTCTATCACGTGTTATGTTTGGCTATTCGTATCCATGGGAATCTTTTACCAATACATGGTAGATTATTAAGATAAATCAGTAGACATGCGCCCTTTAATATATTGTTTCAATATTTATGATATATATTTGAAAAAAATGATCCATTTTCTTCTTCAATAGATTTTAATTCAATATTCATATGTTAAATAACTGTAGTAATAATTGTAGTTGACCTATGTATATAGAAACATTGTTTTCTTTAAATGTTATGTTTATTTTCCTTCTTAGTTGATCAGTTACGAATCAACCTTCAGAACTTTAATTAACAACACTTACAACAAATATTATTGAAAATTACGTTGTAATGAGGATTCGTCTCTTCTTTCGAAAAGTTTTCTTTTAAATATTACTTTTAATTGACAATGGAAGCAGAAACGCCTGTTTCTTATAATAGATTTAAATTAAGACCAACGAATAGACAATTGTGGCCCAAAAATAAAAGAGACGAAAAATTGTTCAAAGATTTGGTTGACTGTGTTAATATAATATTAGATCCATGGGATAAAATAGATTCACCGCAGTTCATAGATTTCTTTGATCTACCTGAAATATCTGATGAATTTTTTGGTATATGATTATCTCTCTCTATGCCTTTATTATTATTAATTATAACTTCATTGTTAATTAAATTATCTTTCTCTTATCTGTTCAAAATAATGTAATATTTACTTTAATTATAAATATTTCTTTATGTTAAAAGAAACAAAAAAGGACGACAAACCATTGAAGCATAATCCTGAAGCTCAGAAACTTCCTCGAACGAGTGATTGTAATAATCGCAATAAATTAATTAAGTAATTATTACTTTTGTTCATTTTTATCTTATAAAATTTACAAATAAAATTGAATTTCTAAATTTTCTTTCAGATTATTAGATAATCTTTCTTTGAAGGAAGAAAATAAACAACAATTGGATGTAAATATTAATAAAGATAACGAGAAAAAGGATTTGACAAAACAAGTATTAATTAAATAAATTTATTAATTTTAATTTTAATTTTAATTTTAGAAATTCAATTTGAATTTGAATAATATTTCAGTGTATTAAAGTGAAACAGGAAACAATTACGACAATAAATAAAAATGAAAAAAATATAACAGAGAAAGTGAATACCGCTGTAAAGCCTTTCAATTTTGATTTACGAAATAAATATAAAAAACAACAACAACAAAAGGTAGAACACATTTTTATATGTTTGTTTTTTTTAATTCTTTTTTAATAATTATAATTGTTTATTTAAAAAATTTATTACCAAAGAATGTAAAAGAAGATAAAGAGTTACATGTGTTTCAAGCAAAACCTGTAGCCATATCTAATAAAACAACTATAAAATCAAAATCTGATCGTACGATAAATAGAACATTAAAAAATTCAAATAAAATAAATACCGAAAAATCTACCAACAAATCTACGGAGGTATGTTATACTTGTTACAACAGATAAAATTATTTCTATAATTATTTACAACGTAATATTTTGACTTTATTTGCATAATCTTACTGAATATATAATTTTATTTATCGTAAAAAAGATTTGGAAGAAGCCGCCTTTCTTACCGCGTCCTGTTAAAAGAATTTTAAAAATCGCCAAAAGTCCGCCTCTTTTAACAGCGATTCGAGCTAAAGAAAGAAAACGTTTTGAGGAAAAGTTAAAAGAGAAGGAAAAGGAAATGGAGATCCAAAAATCTTTGGTAATTTCTCTTTGATATTTGTATATCTTAAACACATTCATTTAATATAATTATACATTTATTACAAGAAATGACCATTAATCGCCAAATGCGATTAGTTTTAGTTTTCAAAAAGATAATTATAACAAACACTTTTGTATTATTCATACATATATACTTCATTCGCGTATGTATTATCATCTTTTAAATATATATATATATATATTTACATAGAATTGTTTTAATTGACAGGCTGCTATAACAGAGAAGAAATTGGAGAAGAAAGAAATGATTCGTTTGAGAAAGCAAACCGTTCATAAAGCTCAACCCATTCCCAAATGTATTTCTTGTTTGCCGAAAATTGATAAACGTCCTCTTAAGGAACCACTCAGTCCATTTAATCATAAACGCAGACGACGCATTTAATTGTCAATTTTTTTTCAGTTCTTTTTTTTACGGAATAAAAGAAAATTGATAACAAGCATTCGCTTAGTTTCAATTTTTTAACATTTCTTCTTTCCATTGCAATTTACTTTATTAGACTTGATATAATAGAATGTTTTTCTTTGTTTATTGCCGTTAACGTTACTTTAAAAAGGGGGCAATTTTATAGTAAACTTTGTAGAAACACTATTCGTATATAAATATATTTAAAAAACAAAAAAAAGAAAGAGATAATACAGGAAAATAAAAATCATCAACTAATATATTTTTGGCACATTAAAAATAGTTCAATGTAAATTTTCTCTTTGTTACAGACGTGATTATCAATCGTAGAGGATTTATTAACAAATTTGATGACTTTAATGATTTAAAAATTGTAATCGTATCAATACGGTATTTAATAATCTTCTTATCAACAACTACTTTCGTACTATGTATATTTCTTATTTTATTTTTATTATCAATATGATTATTTATCAAATTAAAATGACGAACGAAAATTGTTGCTTTAATTATTTATTTCTAGATATTTTTTTATTCAAAAATTTTCCTATTTCATTAATATTATAATAAAAAACTAATTAAGTAAGTACCTTCTTCAAAGAAATTATTAAATTAATTATGTACTCGTTTAATAAATGAATGATTTGTACTCTATATAGTTGGAACCACAAAATAATAGTCTCCAATTCTCATGCATTTACAGCTAAAATTTGTTTAGTGGTCGGAGAGAAAAAGAGAAAGAGAGAAAGAGAGAAAATATTTGTCCTCTTTATTTAACACATTGATCGCCATGCATAAATCGAATGTGTTTTTTATGGGACCAAATTCATGCTGCAGCGTAAGTTGAAAACTTATTTAAACTAAGGGGTCTCCACGGAAACATAGCAACCATCCAGACTTGGGTTAATTGTAAGTGTGATCAATGTGTTAAATATATTTAGCGCGCTATTAACAAAATTATATATATATATATATAAGTCTTTTGATCTAATAAATCTTTGTTATTAGATTAAATAACATTATTATCTTACAGTTAGTTAAAAAAATATAAATTTAATGATTGGAGAAATTGTAACATTTATAAAGTTAAGTTTTGTTGTTTTAACATATATCTGAAGATTACTATATCGTTAAATAAGAACGACATGTATATATATGCATATACCTGAACTTTCTCTATGTAAAATTAATAATGTTTAAAAAATATAAATAATAAAAAATGATACTATAATCATATCTAATGCATCACTAACGCAAATTAATATTGTCTTCATTGCGGATATGTCAGAACATTAATAAATTTTTTCTTTTTAATTTTCTCTCAGGTGACACATTCTTTTTATAAGGAAATCTATTTATCCTATTTTAAATATATGTCATATGAATGAATGAATTTATTATAAAATGAAAAATAAATGGTATAGAGATCAAAAAAATAAATAGAGCTATACGCACTCTGTTATTATCTGCATGCGATAATATATATATATATATATATGCACGTTTGCATACGTAGTATGTGTTTGTGTATGTGTATCTGTGTATGTGTATTATCATCGTGCGCGTACATTTACGTAACATGTAAATCACATAAAGAATATAGGAAGCCCAATGAATGTCGACGATAGACAAACATATAAGTAACAGTCTTATTAACTACGTGAACACAGCCAATGACACATTAATTAGATAAGATCATAGTTCCATATAGTTCACAATGAAGATAACATATGAATCAATAATATTATTTTTTGTGATTTCTTACTGCAAATATTAAATCAAGACTGTTCATTTGTTTTCGCCTATTGTTCCACAAAGTGGTTTAAGTACTATCTAAATAAAGTAATGCCGAGGTTGGCGATGGTGGTAATGACGAAGAGGGAGGCCGTGCTATAAGAATTTCTGGTTCGCTACAATGAAATTGACATACTGTACTGGAAGTACTTAATGTTGATTCATATAGCATTCCCCTTCCTTTTCCTTTTTTTATCATTTTACCATTATCCCTGTTATCTGCCAAATCTTCAGATTTTTTTTTACGAAAACAAAATAATAACTTTCTTCCCCTAAAATTTATAACATCAATCTGTGATTAATGCTAAAACAATTAATTGTTTTAGCATTATTTTATTAATATATTTAAAATGTTACCTTGGGTATTGAAATTGTGCAAAGTGCGATGATGGACCGATGACTGCTAACATTGGGCATAAAAATAATGTTGCATAAATCCAACTTATTCCCATCACAAGTAATAGAAATATACCGATTTGTATATATGCTAACACATCAGAGGGTAACATGAGAGCACCAGCAATTCCACTTGTTAATGCTGCCATCAGTGTTGGACCACCCATTTGATTTAGTGTCGCTTTAACTTTATCCATTCTTTGTTCTGAGTTGCATGCTCGATAACTCACAGCATAATGTAAACTGAAATCCACCGCCAAACCTTGATAGAAACAAAATCTTATTATACATCTTTATATATATATATATATATATATATATATATATATAATAATATATATAATTAACATTACCTATAGCAGTAGATACCGCAACACTTTCCAGGACATTAAGTTTCCAACCAAGAAGAATTAAAGCAGCAACAGTAACTATAATAGCAGCACCAATAGTTATAATTGCATACATACTAACTAAAGGATTCAGTGTCACGAATACTAATACTGCAAGTGCTAAAACCAACGAGACGACCATAGCCCAAATAGTACCCTCGTGCAATGTACGTTGTAATTCGTAAAATTCCAATTCACTAACAAACCATCCTCCTTGCATGGTTGGAGGTGCTGTTTTTAATTGTTTTTGCATCCAAGTTTCAACCTAAAAATATATATATACATTATTAGAAATCTCTTCTCAAATTTAATATTTAATCTAAAACTTACTTGATTATAGAATTGATCCATATCAGAATACGAAAGACTATAGTTATATATACTATTATATTCTATAACTAATGCCTTTATTTTAGGTAATGGTAACTTTAAAGATCTCGTTGCATTTGTTCCTTGCAATGAAGTTTGTACTGGATTTTTCAAAAATTTCAGACCTGCATAGACTGGACCATCTCGACGCCACAAATTAGAAGGGGTGACATAAACATGTGCGGCAGCTTCCGCTGCGCATTTTCTTAATACCTTCGGTTTATAAGGAAAAGTACTTTTTTTACAACATGGTGAATAATTAATAGATTCATTTATAGGATTTTTACATTGTCTTTCCATCCATTTTTGTAATGATTCAATAAAACAATTTTGAAGAAGTGCTCCTAATGTGCTTCGATAAAATGGCTGAAGTCTTAGATTATAGCAGAACTCTTGTAACCATAATTGAGATTTTGGATGAGACACGTCAAAAGAGTCATCCCATTCTAGCTCACCCTTTTTATCAGGATTTAGATAATCACCATTATCAATTGGTTTTATACCCCAAACGAATCGCATTGGTAACGCTTCACCATCATCAATCTATAAATTTATAATGTTTGCATTATTATACAAATGATTATATGTGTTATATATTATCTATTTTTAAATATCTCTATTATTACCATTTCACGTTTTTCAAACAAGAATTGTTGAGAATAAATTAAGTCATATTGTTCAAAAGGATGAGAACTTTCAAACAACTGAAAGTCAGGAGTATCTGGTAATTGTAATCCTGGATTATAAAAGACTACTATACAACAGGCTGTAGCTAAGGCACCCAAACTCAGAAGCCAAAACCATCTTAAACCAATTGCTATTTTGGTGAGAAAGGTACTAAATGTAAGAGCTACTTTGTCTGCAAATAATCGCACGGGACGAATTATTTTTCTTGTAATAAAACTTGCAGGTGACAAAGTAGTTATTCGACATCGTTCTGATACTACCACGCATGCCGGTAGCCACGTGATCATTAAAAAGAAATTAGCGATCACGGTCATCCCTGAAAACAAACTATATACACCACAATTATTAATTTTAGATATATACGTCAAATAACATATTTATGGTTAATCAATATAAAGATTTCCTTACCTAAAACAATTAATGGCAGTGACATTACTGACAATAGATGCAAAAAATGCTACTGCTGTTGTTAATGAAGTAACAAACATAGACGGTACTGCATGCTTCATTGTTTCTTGTACTAATCGTGGTAATCCATCGTTAGTAAGTTTTTGTTGTTTGCAACATTCCCAAACCTTGCAATATATAAATGCATCATCTGCACCAATTCCTTAAAAAACAAAAATATTTATCACACAATTATGAGGTATTTAACTTTTTGTATAAAATTAAAAATATTAAAAAGAAAAACAACTTACCGACAGCGACTACAATTGCAAGTAGATTCATAAATGGGAAAAATTTAATTTGCAGGACAAGAGTATATACTGCATATGAAATACCAAGACTAAAGAGTACTGCAAAGAATGTGGCAATAGTTAATAATAAAGATCCAGTGTACATCCAAATGCATAAGGTCACAAAGCCAAATCCTGTTAGAACAAGACTAAAATTTGACACCAAAAGACGATCAAATAATGTACTCTTTAATCCCAATTGCATGCCTTGTACTTTAAACTTTCCATAACTCAGTCCGTTATTGTTTAAATCTTTATAGAAATCTAAACTGGCTGAACCGGCTGCCATTGGGAGAAATAACATAGCAGACTGCAACCCTAAATGTGACTTGTTTACAAATTGATGTTTCTGCAAAGAAATATTTAATTTATCAGAAAATTATAACTTTTAATTGAGTGCTAGATATAATTTAAAAAAATTAATTCTTACGTCATTCGGAATAAAATTAAAATCTAAAAGATAATGTAATAGATGATAAACTGCGTTATGCTGATAACATTCAGCCCGTACACGTTTTTGACAATTAGTATCTTCCGCACAGTTAGAAGTTAATTCCAAATTATAATAATAATAAGCGCATCTTCTTAACAAAGCTTCTACCCGAATAAGATCATCCTCAGTCACTCCCAAACAGGAACTCCGATTAGACAACAAGGCAACATAATTAGCAGGTGACCAACTTCTGCAACACTTTTGATTACTCTTGATACCATTATGTTCCTCTTCAACTTGACACAATGAAGTAAAATGAGGATTTGCTCTAAGCGCTGCATCAATATGACACTGAGCTAATACACCTTCCATAGTCCATAAACTTTTCTCTTCTGTTTCCGTGCTACCAATAACTACACGAGCATAATTGGGGTTCGGTAAATTACAGAAAAAACTTTCGCTGTCTAAATTATTATGACTTTTGTCATAATCTATGATGTTAAATTGATTTTTACTTCTTAACTCTGACAATTCTTTCCATTTATCTTTGTCATTATTATTACTTGTATCTTCTTCATCAAGAATACCTTGACTTGCCCAACTATGATTTTGCGGAATAGAGTCAGTCTGTAAGAAACAATGTTTATTTTTTTACACTTTGAACACAAAATTAGGCCAGTTAAAACTCTCACATCTTGTATACATATACGTATACATATTATGATATTTCTTTAGAAAGGAAATAAAATAATAAAATTACCTGTTCTTTTATTTGTTCTAAATAATAATTATACTCGAAAGGATTATTAGTAAATTCTCCTCTAGGCTCTGTTGCTTTCATTAAATTTTGCCATGCTGTCAGTCTTTGCGCTAATACAGTACCCCGTGCTTCAAAACCCTTGAAATAATAAACGCGTATATAATATAAGTAATAAATATAATATAAGTATATATATTTCTTAAGTAATATGCATACACAAAATTAATAATACTTACCAATTGAGGGTCAGAAAAGTCTGGTAAATGTTCAATAGTACGTGGAGCTATTAAACACGTACAAGAAAATAGAAATACTGTCAATAAAATAACACATGGATGATGTGCAACAATGCGAGAAAACCACCACGCTTCCATTTTTGATCCGCTTAATGTCTTCACGTTGATATCATAATTTTAAATCAAAATAAGCATAGTGTAATAATAAAAAAGTCTTGATAAAACACCATTTAAACACATTGCACTTTACAGTACCAATCTGTTACAATTATTTTCAATGAAATTAGTGTCAAAATATAATTTAGTATTTATAACACTGTTTAAAGTTTTAACATGAATATAATTTGCATCAAAATTATAATTTTCTTTAAATAACACATACATCTTCAATATTTTTAAATGTTGAATTTCTTATGTTTGCTTAATGGCACTTTGTTAATTCCATTTAAGACGAATCCACCTTTTGACATATGCAAATAGTATTTTAATATTTAAATATACACATTTCTAATCGATATTTTTGTACTTACATCGATTACAATACAAATAAAATCATATTACAATACACTACGTATATATATTATATATGATATCATATATACATGTATTTAAACTATACCTACACAATTATTTTCTAGGATTATTGAAAAAGTAATATGGTTGTCTATATCAAAGGGTGGCACATGTGTTTACAATGTATAAGAGTGGTACGATCCGATATTTTGTCCGAAAAATTGATTGCTGAAATGGTAACGTTCGTAAATTGTGCGTCTCGTTTCTCCCTATTTCTCTCTCTTTCTCGCTCCTTCTATTCCCCCACTCCTTTCAACATTTTTTTTCTTTTCATTGTATCTAATTTATAATGCGATTTATTACGATTATTATTCGAATTTATTATAATTTATTTTAAAAGAGACATCGGATTTTTTATTTACCAAATTAAGCTTAAAATATGGCAAAATAATAATAGATTGCACGAAGGTGATTGGTGCATGCACATTTATGACAGATACATCTCAATATTATAAAATACATGTATATTGAAATGATTAAAACAAAGAATATTATTTTTTATTTAGGTATTATATCTTTTGGCTGCAATATTTTCTTTATTATTATTTGATATAAAATACAAATTAATTTAAATATTTCCCTTCTTCTGTTTACAATTTATCATTTTTCATCATTACAAATAGCATATTCGCATTCAGTTCATTATCCTAATTTGTTTAATAAATGACTAAGCATTTCAGTGTACAATAATTTTTTATATTGTATAAAGCTTGACTATGAAAGTTTTCTTTTTGTATTTATATATCTATATTTATAAATTGTTGAATATTTATAAAAATAAAAGAAAAATAATTTGCCTATAACTGCCAATTCTTAGTTTAGAACAAAAAGAAATAGCGCTACCATTCATTTTTTTAAATATTTAATTTAGTAAGAGATCTTTAACGTTAATGATAGTTCGCAGACTAAAGCATTAAAAAATGTCCATTTTTAAGATTATTCATTTTAAATTAAATGAAAAAACATTAACGATGTTTAAACCTCAATAGGATTGACAACAATAGCATTTCTTTTTGCTTCTTTAGATTCTTCTTCTGGGTGTTGTAAATCGTCCTGTCCTCGAATTCTAATATTGTGCTTTTCCTTGTATTCATTTATTTCAATACCTTTTTTAGTTAATTGATCGTTCAAAGCTTCTATTACTTTGGTCAACTAAAAATGATATTAGAAAATTTGAGTTATGCGATAACAAATATAAGAATACATTTTTCATACATTATTGTATCATATAGAATCTAAAAATAATAAATTACAAGATAATTAAAAATGTATTGATTATTGTTAGTTGAATAATCAAACCTGTTCTTTGTTTGATACTAATGTAGGCATTACATCTTCAACAATACGTTCACATAAAACTCCTCCGATCATTCTATAACACTTCCTTTTAGGGTCAACATTTTTTAAAGTATCGATAACAATCCTAAAAGAATCAACAATTTATTATATCAATTAATATGAGATATAAATATACATAGATTTAAAATTTCTTTAAATGCATTGCTTTTCGTAAACAATAGGTTAAAGATCATACTTATGTTCATTTAACTCCATTTCCATTTCGGACAATTTACTGGCCATTAATCTTTGTTCATTTCGAAGCGTTTGAAATCCAGCGAAAACCTCCTCATTAGATTTTCCACTTTTCGAAGATGTTTTGCCTGATTTTTTTTCGCTAGCCATATTAGGAGATCTAACCACAATTCAAAGAAACCGAACTATCTTAGTTGAGTTTCCTAACCTATATGACTATCTTGAACACATGCAAAAATTATGATGCATTTTCATGGTGACCAACTTTGTTAAATGTGTTTAGGACAAGACATTATTTTTAGAATTAGACGTCAACGTCACGTTTGTCGTATACATTGATATCAGCCCTTTTATGTAAATAATAATATAGGTTCTGCTATCCAAATTCAATTATTTTACAAATCAAATTCATTAATACAATATAATATTCATTGATTATGAATATTATATTATGATAATATTTACAACAATTTTTTAACAAATTTTTTAAGTATTCATAGCATTTTGGATCCAATTTTTTTTGTTTCATCCTAATACATTAATTTGTTTCATATATTTTTTAAATATTTTCACAACGTAATCAAAACAATTTTATATACCTACATCAGAATTTGATAAACAGTAGTAGGCAAATAACAGGAAGAATTTCAAATTTTAATGTTTACTTCATACTCATTGCATATTTTTAATTGTCTTCAAAAATTATTTCAAATATAAACATACATACATACATACATACATACATACACATACACACACACACACACACACACACACACACACACACACAATCTTGTCTAAAAGTAAATATTCTATTTTTTATTTTTACATATTTAAATAATTTTCTAGTTAATAAAAAAATTTAGTAACACGGATAAAGGTCCAAATAAATTGTTCCAGGCATCTGTACATCAAATGTATATTTCATCATTTATCGATACACAATCACCACGCTCACACATAAATAAAATAATTAATTGTATAAAAAAATTCTTTCCATACACACATTTTTCAAATACAACATATCCACAAATGCACGAAGAACACGAGCTTACAAACTTAAGTAGTTTTGTTTCTTTCTTTTTTTTCCTTTTTTTTTTTTTAAGTACAGTCTAAAAAATTCGTAATAATTTATATGATTTTATTCATAATACAATTTATAAACAACATGAGAGGCAAGCAATATAATAATGTTTTATAACATTACTGAATTAATTGTGATATGTTATTGTAAAAATAGCGTCATTTCTAATTCGCACTAAGAGATGTAAAATGTTTAAAATATTGAATTATACTATTAACAAAGATAGTTTTCCTTCTTCGATTAGGAAAATTATTTATCGTGTTTATTTGGAATGCAAAACACATATCCGTTAGGGATAATATAATTTTTTTCGTTTGTATAAAAAATTCTTTGCCTATATCTAGGTCTATATAATCCAAATGTGTTATAAACTTGTGTATATATGAATATATACAAAAGCATTGAAGCCAAGCATGAAATAAATTTCTGCTTTTTATTTACATTTTTTAATCTTTTTTGTTTTTTTCTTTTTTGTTAAATATATTTTGTATGAATAGATATATGAGATGTATTTTTTTTAAAAGTGTGATTTACCAGTCTTATGAAAATCATATGTTGCTTAAAATTCAACACATGAAAGCCACGAATAAAGAAGTGCAAGTTTAAACACCTGCTTATGTTAGCACATATCTGGTATAAGAATACTATACCATTAGTCATGGAATATTTAAAATGTTCATAATACATTTGGCTTTTCAAATCCCATTTATGCATATACAATAAAGAATAAGTTACTATAATGTCTAATCACAACTCACAAGAATATATATTCAAGGTACTAAAGTAAAAAAAGAAAGTTTACAAAAATATCCTTAGTAGAATTTAAAAAGGAAAAAAAAAAGTGTCATGCATACTAAATGAAATTATTATTGTCATTATTAAACCAGTTTCATCGTGATTCGACGGTTTAGCATTAAAGAAATACTTTTAATTTGTTCAATAATTATTTTTACTTATAGAATTAATTACATTTAATAATTCAATTAAACTTATCGATTTCAAATGACAATAATACTTTGTTTACGATACTTTTATAGAAAAGAAAGTCTATTATTTTAAATATAAATTAACTAGTTTACAAAAGTCTACTTTTAATTATATTTTATATATTTATACAAATCATTCATATTTCATTTATTTCCGAGCAATATTTGCTGGAGTAAAAAGAAAAGTGCTTTCATACTAATATTAATCCACATATACACGATTTCATACAACGTATTTGTAAAATATGTTTCTTATATAAATTAATAAAAAAATGATTTGAAAATGCCTAAATATATGAAAAAGATCTTCAACGAATAACTTATGGATTAACTGAATATAATAATTAAGTAAATTAACATAAGTTTAACATATAAAACTTTGTATAAAAGATATTTATAAATAGTGATATAAAAAAAAAAAATAAAAGTAAATAGATAATAAAAAGTGAGTATTGTATTTTTATACCATCAATAAATGCAAATAATATACGAAATTGCTTATGCAAACAAGTTTATGCATATATATTTACGTAATAAAATATATATTACATTTTTATGGCCTTGGAAATAAAAAATATTATCAATTTTTTTTATAACTGTTACTTTTAAAAATAAAACTTTGTTTTTTAATTCATGACAATCAAATTGTTCATACTATACTTTAATGTTGATTTTTAAATGTTATGTTTTAAAATTTGTGCATTTTTATGCTTTTTTAAATTTATGCAAATTCACATCCACTAGTATGATAAGCACCTTGTAATAAGATGTCTAAAATATTGTCAGTACTACTACACAGAAGTTTCGGAATTCAACCTCAATAAAAATTTGTTAGATTTAGGATGTGCCAATTGTTCGGTAAGATGAAAATTCGGTAATCGATATGCCGTGCACAAAAGTGCAATCTCACCTTGTCTCAATTGAAATTCACAACCATTTGCAAGAGGTCGTGATGGCAATTCACCTTCGCAAATTAAAGCCCAATGATGTGAACGCTTTTGTCTTTCCTTTTCGTTGGAAAGAACAGGACTTGTTGTAAAAAATGGTTCTAAGAATGCTCTAGGTGCTGCATCTTGCGCTAAACATCTTGCAAAACGATTTAATATTGATTCAACAGAATGACGAGGTTGTTGGCGTGTAACTCTTAAATATTTTTGCAAAGCTCTCGCCATAGATGGAAATACTGCTTGGGCAGCTTCCATAGGATCCAAAGAACCAGGACCAGGTGCAGATTCGACTTCAGAATGTAATCGTTTTATATGAGCAAATGCTTCTTCCGCGGCAGTAATTAATCTTGCCTTTCGTTTGCGTACTCTTCTCTCGTAATCATGTTCTTCGTAAAAACGACCATTATGGCTAGAATCTCTACGTCTAGCTTGCGCAGCTAATACTGCTGTATCGCCGCTACCTCCGCGCGACTGAACACCACTTGAAACACCTCCGTCAACGTCATAAAATTTGAAACTCGATTGTTTTCGACTTGATTTAGATACAGGCAAACGTTCCAGGTATGGATTGTAAATAGGAAAATCCGTATAATACCTTTCCAAAACCCATACTGCTGCTCTTTGTATCGATAATTGTCCTATCGCATAAGATCTCGATTCACCATCTGGAGATCTCACAACCTGTAATGAAATATTGAATTAAAGTATCCAATGTAACGATAATAAATCTAGCAACAATTATAAATTCATAAATTCTTTACATACCTTAACATAAAACGTTGGTTGAGAATGACGAACTTCTATAAGCAGCACGCCAACATAGTGAATGAATAGCAATGTATTTGCAAGAGTACCCGCATAATTTACTAAACTTTTGTACTCTGTTATTTCACCATTAGCAGCAGTCTTAGCACTTTCTGTGATCTAAAATGAAACATTATGTTAAGTTAATATAATTACATTATAATTTTAATTATAATAGTTTATACAACAATATAAAACTAAACAACAGCATACCTGAACAACATAAAACAACCAATAAGTACAAATGCACAGCATCGTAAGAAGTAAGACACCAGCTCTGAATAAAAATACACGCGGCATAGTAACACTTCGTGGGCGTAGAAATACAGCCCAACTTCCAATAACTAATAGTACTAATTTAAAGGCTAATCCTAACAATTGCCCTTTGCATTCGGCATTGCACGAAAGTAATTGTAATTTTTGTTGCATTGTTAGTACGGTTGTTGTATCAGGAAAAAATCCTAATTTAGGTAGTATGACCATTGCTATAGGACTTAAAAAAGCGCATATTCCAAGGAGCACAGCTACTATTGGAACTATATGTCGATTACAGGCAGATCCAAAAGAAGTGTCAGTTTCGCTTGGCCAATGACTTACATCCTCTGTCGATTCTGACCTGTCTGATGTATTTCCAGTTACGGCTGTTGTATTTTCTCCCCAATTTTCATCTTGAGGTAATATTTGTACTTCGATAACCTCAGGACCTAAGTTGTCCACACTATCCCCGCGTACATTAAGTGTTGTTTGAAAAGGAGCCATTTGGTTTGTATTTATATTATGTCTTTCCTTTCTCTGACTTCGACTACTCCTAATTAAAATAAAGAATCAAACATAGAATGAAATTATAAATTATTTTAAATTATGGTACGCTTACATCTAAATTAAATGATATACCTCAATAAGTATATTAAGTATCAAACAATTATTGATAATAGATTTAATTTAAGAACACTTTCATAATAAAACAGTAACTAAGAGATATACTTGATTAAACCAAACAAATTAGCCTACATTTAATAGTACAGAATTAACATACAATTTTTATCCACAAATTAATGACAAAACTGACATGTACATCTATTCTAATATAAAAATATCAAAATATATCGTTGACATTTAACATAGAAATAATTTTAGATAAAATCTATTTGACAGTTTACATGTTGTCAAACCATATCTTGACACAATTCAACATTGAATGAAACTCTAGATATAAACGTACCATTTAATATCACACATGTCTTACTTCATGCTCGAATAATTTAAACAATCACAATAATAAAATATAACAAATCATTCAAAATACTCAAAAATAAAATATAAAATAATATAAGATAAATAATAATAATAATATATATATAATGATCACGATAACAGTATAATTGATATGAAGCGCTGATTAGCGCTTGGTTTTGTCGAGGACCAGGATCGAATCCTACAAAGTTTAATCTCGACTACAGCGCCTCTAATAGCGAAAAATAAAAGCAGATTAAGGTAGATATTGTTAAGATACCTTGTAGTTGTTCTATGAGAATGTTGTCGATGATGAGATTTGGTACTGTTATTGTATACTTTATGGTGTTTTTGCGAAGACCTGCTGTGCTGGCTATGGCTATGCTCGCTAGCCCCTGATTTAACGCTCTCCGTCTCCATTCCCTAGTATAGGTTACCGCTCTTGCATTATTACTCCATACGAGTATTCTTCCCTGCTCCTTTCAACGTGTACAATAAACAACAGGCACATTTACAGAAATGACTTTTCTTCTAGCTGATAATTCAACTATTCAGAGCTTATCTTCAAAATTCTCAAATGACACATCATCATTATCATCATCATTATTATCATAGAATCCTTGGATTCTTTTCCGTCCATAAATGTCCACATTTAAACATCTTGATTGTTCGAATTTGTATGACTTATTATTTTGTCTGAACGTTTGAATAAACTAAGTGCACTTATTTTTTGATAGAAAGACTACGACAAAGCTTAAAAAATGACGCCGCCACGCCTAGCGTTTATTATTTCCATCCTTTTTCGTTTTCTTTGAAGCAACATTCCGAAGTATTCCCTAGAGATTAAATCTCCACGATTTCTAGGGAATTAGAGATTTGCCGAAATATATTCTAGGGACGGAAACTAGTGATTGTTTTCTTTTACTATACTTGCTTTGGCTTTTGTTCCATTGTATTTTTCTTGTAAATATTAAGAAAGCTAATAGAAGATTTGTGAAGTGTGAAATTGTACAAGTCATTGTTTGGTTTGTAAGATTTTCAGATATTCATTTGTTGTAGTTGGTAAAGAAAATCTGAAACAATTTAATATTAAACTAAATACCTGATACATTATTTTGATATACTTTATTGGAGTACATTTGTAATTTTTCTTGCTTTGATACAAACCATCAAAATCAACCCGTTACATATAATTTCTCACCGAGACCATTAATCACAATAAATACAAAACATGGATATCTTAACATTGTTCTTTCATCTAATTAGGCAGTGTTCTAGGTTTAAAATAATCATGTGACAACATCTCTTGCTAACAAAGCTCATTAATGTAACATAGAATGTATAGAAAAAGCATTTGGATATAATTTTGTGAAATAACTTCATAGGTTAACACAACGTAACAAGGACTCCTGATATTAATTGTTGTACAAAATATTGTAAATTGGTTTTGGAAGATAATCGCTGCATAAGGCGTGCATTCGTTCTTGACGTGATACTGGAGCATACCTTTGCATTGGAAATGTTTTCATTATGCTGTCTGTCAAAGCTCTGCTAACTGACGTTAAATCTGCTTCAGGTCCTTGCGTATATTTTTCAAGTGCTAACATTTCCTTTTGGAATAATTCTTCCCCATATTCTTTACGCGTTTGAGGATCAAGTTGCATCCACATATCTCGAGCTTGTTCTAATAACGAATTATTGTCTTTTAACCAAGCATTACCAGACACATATTCTCCAGTTTCTACGATCACTACGTCAACTCTCCATCTTCGCATTTCTAATCGAAGACAAGAACCCCATGCCTCAATAGCAGCCTAAATGTTTTGCAAATATTATATGTCAATTAATTTTAAATTAAGTTTTATTTTTATTTTAATTAGTAAAATGTATTTATAACATTACCTTAACTGCACAATAAATGCCTCTCACGGGACTTGGTATACGAGCTAAGAGGCTACTCACTATTACAACACGTCCTCTTGATCTTCTGACCAATGGTAAAAATACCTATTGACAACGGTCATTTATATATGAAAAAATATTTGTATATTATATACGTAAATTAATATTTAATTACCTGTGTCAATCGGGCAAGACCAATAAAGTTAATATCTATACTTCGTTTTAAAACTGAGGGTGGTACCCATTCGCATTCACCTAATGTTACCCATGCTGCTGCATGTACCAATGCCCATAATCCTTATTTTGTTCCATTGTTTAATCAAATATAGAATTTAATTGTTTTATTTTATTTTATTTTTAATTCAATTATAAGAAAAATTGATTAATTAAACTTACCTGGTGCTTCATCCGGTAAATTTTCATTTACATACAGGAAGGTCGAATGTATATCATGTTCACTTGTAATATCGAGTTGCAACACATGTAATCTTCCTGATGCTTCGTGTTTTAATTTTTTCATTGTTTCTTCGGCTTCATCTTTATTACTAAATCCAGCAAAAACTGTGAAACCCTACAATAACAAAATGATATATTAAATAGAGTATTATTAATGATAAGCATAATATTGAATTTCTAATTTAATTAATTTCATACCAAGTCATCCAATTGTTTAGCCAAAGTATATCCAACTCTTGAATCGCATCCAGTTACAAGCACAGCCTTTCCTGCAGCAGTAACCTGTTTGTGTATACAATTTCATAATTAATAATTTTGTAATATTTAATATTATTTTAAATATGCGAATATGAGAAATCCTAAGGCTGTATTGTTATATCATGAGTATACAAATGCAGGTACAGAAAAAAGCCCTTTGTGAAGTATTCCAAAGGGAATAGCGTTTAATTTAATATTACACAAAAAGGTCAAAGATTTCAATGTTTTTTAATACGTTGCTACTCTAAAATAAAAGTTTGTTTCACCCATTTGAATAATTTTATATATTTAATGTCAAATAGATTTATTACGTAAGTTAGATATTAATGAGAATAAATTGAAGATATGAATTTTTGTTTGAAATAATAATTATTTTGAATGCGACACATAATTTGATGATACATCTCTGTTATATATAAACGTTGTATTAATAACTCACCTTTAAATTGTGATAAAATAATGTTGAACTCACTGATATTACCAACAAAAGTAAGAACAATGCAAAACTAGATGTTTGTGAAATACCAAAAATATTTAATATTGTTGCTAGAATAACTGCAACGGCATGTGAAAATGCAATTGGTAATAAACATCTTTCAGCTAACTCCCAAGTTTGACTATCATCCGATTCTTTGTTAACACTTGGCATTTTTTCCTTTATTTCCTTTTATTTTTGTTTTTATTTTTGTAGAATATTTCAATTAAATTTAATTCCTTCCATCCGGATACGGCTTATGGCTCATTTAAGAGCCTCAACTGAGCTAAGCCTGGGCTAACTTTAATCTTAAGACAGTATCTAGTCTTGTTGGTCTAAATTTAGTTGCAGTGCCGTGTCCTAAGTTCACAAGTCCTAGTCAAATTTGACACCCAATCTAAAAATAAATGATACTTTTAACTTTTCTAAATCTGACTAATAAAATCTGTTTAAAAATTTTGTTATATAAAGTTATATATTTATAATAAAATTGCAATATTTGTATATTGAGAATGAAATATTGTGTTGATCCATTAAAATAATTTCATTTATTATGAATTTACTGGTATTTACTCAAGCTTTGAAATAAGTATAAATACAAATATTGTTCCTTATATTCAAGATTTAAAACATGTTTGAATATATCATGAATTGATTAATTGATAACTTAAACAATTACCATTCTGTTACATACATATGCTCATTAATTTGATTCCTATAAAATTGAATAAATAAATATTATCTGGAATACAAGTACAAAAGTATAAATAATAAAAATTTATCAACAATAATATTCGATTGTTAATATTATAAATATAATCGAAAGTAGAAAATTTTTATCTGTAAATTTAATGGGTTGTTAGGTAAATATAAAGGGATCTATACAAAAATATTTTTTTATTTATTATTTTTTAAATTAACGATGATCTAGCACTCGTTTCATCATGGCAAATTATTTAAATATATACAAGAGGGAATATTTATTATTTAATTAGCATAATGCTTAGATAATAATATTTATTAAAGTTTCATGCATGAACGTTAATATAGTTTGTCCAATTGAAGGGAAAAAATGTATACTAGTGTAGGGTAGGTTATTGATTTCTGTCTAGATGCCATGTTGGTAGGAATACGGTTGGGGGTGTCTCTCGGACGTATGTCTGTACGCAGAAGTCTGCAAGGAGTATAAATAGGAGGGGTAGTTGCACCATTGACCCAGTGTTGAGTTGACACACAGTCAGTTCACTCACTCATTCAGGCGTTATCATTAAACATTACCGTCTTCTACATTTTTTTAATTCGTTCATATTTAAATTGCGTTAATGCTATAAGCAAATTCGCAAAAAGACCAAATTTATATATCCGATACAATCCTAAAACACTGCCCTTTTTCGAACTTTCGTTTTAAAATCATACACGGCTTTTTTATTTGTACCACATCAATATACTTATATATATATATATATATAGTGCTTTAATATAACAACGTTTCTATAATAAATGTTTATAATCAGTTGATTAGTATTATGCAAATGTAATAAACTCGATTGCATTTCATTCAAGGATACAAGTGCATTGTCCGACTAGTGTGCAACGAGAATCAGGCCTTAGCAGTGTCAATTTAAAAATAAAATAAAATAAAGAAAAAAAATTAAGTGAATTTTAAGCTCCATCATAGTTGGTTTTATTCGTTATTGAAAAATTTTGGATAAGCTCATTTTTTTGAGAACGTGTATTTAAAGAAATTATATTGAATCTATTATTTACATTTTGAAGCAACATGTCAGAGACACCAGGAATAGTACAAGGATTGGGTAATCCATATAAAATAGTTGATCATGCAAGGGAAAGAAGGAAGGGTATCACTGCCTCTTCTTTAAAAGATTTGACTAATATAGCTCGAAGTCGCTTGGCTTTACCACCTGATGCAAATCTTACTATCGTATTAGAACAAGATGGTAAGAATACATTGTTATTGGATAGATAGTATATTTTTAAATCTTCTTCTAAATTTAGATTTATTTTTAACGGTTCTTAAGGTTTGGTTGACTTTGCATTTAGGAACCGAGGTAGATGATGAAGAATATTTTGCAACATTGGAAAGGAACACCAGTCTAATGGTCTTATACGGAGACCAGAAATGGATTGCAGCAGGTAGCAGCAAAACTGCTTCTCGCTACATTGTTGTAGATGATGTGGACAACATGGAAGGCACTTCAAGAAGCACCGAAATTAGACGTCGACGTCCACCAATAGAGCCATTGGTTTCATCGTTACATGATGATCCATCACACATTTCATTACTTGGTGGAAATGATTTAGAGCTGCTTAGTGATATGGATCCTGATAGCTTAGCTGATATTGTACCCGATAGGTTTGCGTTTAATTTTGTAAACATATAATAATAGTGTTCTTTGTCGTAAACATTTCTTATGTTATCATTTGTTTTGTTATTATAGGATTTTCCTGGAGCAATTGAAGGAAGCATCAGGTAGATTCCTCGCAGAGAAACGACAAGCACAGGAGTCTATGGCTCTTCTTCAGATTTATGCGAGTGGAGGAGAGATGGAGCGAGCGTAGGCCATGTGGGGGGTGGGCGCCCTCACACTGGCTAATATGTATCGAGTTAGGCGTCGTATTTTTTACAAAGGTCGCCAATTACAACAAACATTAATTCTCCTTTGGAATTGAGCCTATTAAATATTTAAACTTGCCAACTTCGATCGGAGCAAGTAAAAGATTATTCTACTGCAGCAAAAAATAATTTATGGATTAAGGATTCAAAATTCTTTTCCATATAAAAAACCTGTTTGCCAGGGTTGTTTTGAAGAAAGTGAGATGATGATAAAAAGAAATACGTACAGATAGATAAATTATTCTCTATTTCTGACTAAAAATGATTATTTATGAAGTATTTGAAATAATCTATTCAGTCCAAAATGATCAAATTTATAATATTAACCAAAGAGATAAAGAAATGTTTGCTTATATATATCTCATGAGTTAATTATTGTGTTAATTAGATCAGATTTTATCTTACGTTTTTTGTTAATTAGTATTTATAGACATATATATAATATTATATATATAAATATAATTAACTCAAAAGTAGATACTTTGAACATATGTTGAGTTTAGTATGTGGCATATGGAATTGCTTTAATACAAAATATGATTATAATACAAAATATATAAAAGTACTTAGCCGTTAAATAATCTGAACATATTTGATAAGAAAAAAATTACGATGTCAAAGAAGGTATTCCGTCACGATGTTATCATATCAGTATCAGCACAAGATATGTTTTACTTATTGTATTTTATGTAGATATATCCATAACTGAACTTATGTTCAACGAAGATTGATGGAATATTTAAGACTGAATTTATAGGAAAACAGATTGCATCCCCATTAAAATCACCAATTCATTAAACACTAGATGTAGTGATGTATTAGGAAGAAGAAGGAAAAAAAAACAATATCAATCCTTTGATACCAAACGAAGTTGTGCATTTGATAAAAAAATCAGCAAAAAATAAAGAAAATAGATGGGTGTTCCTGAAAAGATTATACATATGCACAATCAGTAGAATTAAATTAATGATATTAACTGTTCTTTATTTGTATAATAAGCAAAATGATTTTAAAATACTCAAAAACAAATTGTTACTATTGCAATTAAATTATGCGTTGCATTTACATTACGTAAATATAAAACAAAAAGTTAAATTGTGCTATATACTAAAAAAGAAAGAAATAAGGAAGAGAACAGTAAATACGATGTGCATGTCTACTCTTTACAGGTACTCCGTATTTAAATATCGTGACATTCTTTGATATATATATATACACATATATATATCTTACCATACATATGCAGAACTTTAGTGTTTACATTGTTACCCTTATAAATAAACGTCTAATTTATGTCATACGAAATTAGAAAGTGCAACGATCAGTATAAGGATATTTATTACTTGGTAATATATATACATATATACATGACTAAAAACCACAAATTGCATTTTTTGTGTAACTTAGCATTATTCATTTTCTAATAAATTAAAAGGAAAATTATTCATACCTGAAATTCTCAGGTACGTTAGTTAATATTGCATAGACTGCCAATTATAAGTAACGCACATCAGTGCTCAATGCATTATATTTAATAATGATTCTTTTATAATAATAACATTTTCATTTTGAATAACTTTATTATTATTATTATTATTATTATTATTATGATCATCTTCAGTTTATAATATTACTATAAATAAATTTTATGAACAAGAATATATATTAACCATTTGAGTTCCAGTGGTATTTAGAAAAATCATGTTGTCAAATGCCAAGTGACACAGATATGTATCAATTGCACATTGTATTTCAATAATGTGGCACTTTCCGATAAGAAATTTGAATAGTGCAATCATGCTGTTTGGGATTCAAACGGTTAATAAACAAATAAGTTATGTTTTAATAGAATGTAAAAACTGGTTATTTATAAGTTCATACAGAGCATTAGATGCGTTCTTAGATTTATTAGAAGCATTACGTAATTGACAAACCGCCTCTTGTAAGACAAGTTCACTTCTTAATAATTGTTTATTGACAGTTGATAGTTCTTGAACACCATTGACAACTGTTCCTTCTGTCATTTGAATTATATCTTTATCCAATGTTTCATTACATTCACCTATATAAAACACGAAAGCAATAGTTCCTTTTCTTAATTTGTATTACATCATTGTTATTATTATTTAATATAGATAATATATCATAAAAAAAAAATAATTTTTTCTCTTTATAAATAAACATTATATCATTTATGCTATATATAAATTTAAAGTATATAACAGGAAATATATATATATATATATATATAATGTTCTGCTTGCGAGGAAAATAAATTTTAGGTGCTAAATAAAGTGGATCACATCAGTCCATTCAATTCTTACTTCGGAAAGAAAAAGAAAATAAAGAAACAACTTGTATTACCGATAAAAAATGTTTCTGCATAAAGAATATTATATAAAATAATGTGTTTTAGCTATAGGGATGCGTATTGTACTACTATAATATTAATGAAATATGATGTTATTAAAATCATCTGTTTTACATTCATTCTGTAACCAAAACCTATGCAGTACATCAAATTAATGTAATTCTAATAATATCATTAATTATTCAGTTTTAATAAATAAAAGATTCTTTCTATTACTTACGCAATTTTTTATGAAGTAAGCTGTTATACTTAACGCTGCTTTTTTTTGACTTTAGTGTTTTTATTTCCGTGTATGGTGGACAAGTCATTGCATCAACTGCTCCACTGATACTGCTCAAACTTGTAACATCTATAAAGATGATGCATATATTATTCATTTATTATATACAAAATGATTATTTGAATTACCTTCATCAGATTCAGGAGCTTCACCAGTGACAATCGTACCACAATAATTTGGTGTATGTACAGAGGGAAATCCTATACCCTGTAATAACAAAATTTATATATATTTAATATATAATATATAATATCTTATATATAATAAATTATTTAATATTATAAGAATAAACATACTGTAATAACATTAGCAATATCATCATCTGATTCTGATGCTTCTCCTGAGACAACTACAGATTTTAAATCCATTTCTCTATAAAATCTGAAAACAAGATTCTTTATATAATTACATTTTAATTTAATTTAAGGTTAGTCATTTTAAATAAATTATTAACAAAGATATAATACAAGAGTGTCAAAAATTCAATAATATTATGACAAATAATAATTATGTATTTTAAATGCAAAATTAAATGGCAATTGTTAGGTTATATTTGACGTATATTTTTAATTTGAAAACAAAACAAACATATTTCAATATTAGGTTATAATCTTTGTTTGTTTTTGAAACTTTTGTTAATTTTAATGAACTTACCAACAAACATATAACTAATATTATTATATTTTTTGAAATATTTTCAAGTTTTTAGGAAACTATTGTTTTAGCTTAAAAGATGCTTCTTGAAATACTACGAAAGCGCATGTTTACTGATAGAAAAAGGTTAATTGAATTTGATGACATTCTTGTTTGTATACTATTATTTTTACAATATTAGAATTTTTTTTATTACATTACTTACAAAAGTATTATTTATATTATTTACACTGTACACCACACAAGTTTACGTATTAAAAAGAAAAAGACAAATCATTTATATTTATGACTAATTATTTTTTATAAATGGCCACGCAAAATATTTAATTCTTCTGGCGTAACGTGCATTCGTAATTCTTTTTCACGTATAACATCTTGTATTTGCGTTAAAAGTTGCGGTGCAACTTCAGCCGCATCGATATAAATACTTCTCGCCCAAGGACACAATACTACACTTTCATGATAAACTTCTTCTCCTTTTTTCTCGCATAAATTATATTCTCGAAGAAGAAGCATGTATATTCTCCATAAAAGTGGACAGGATCTTATTTCTGGTGTTCTTAGAAAAAAAATAAAACAACATAAGAATATATTATAAATCAATTATTATAAAAATATAGGAATATAATTCTTTTTCAACAAAATTTTAAAAGAAATTATACCTTGCAAATATTCGATGAAGCGATAATAATTTGTTAAGCGACGCAGAAGCTGCATCATGACCAAGTTGCATTAAAAATTGTGTTCGCTTACGTCCAGCTAAACACAAGGATAAAGCTTTCCAAATCGTTAGCACAGATTTTTGATTGTTAAATTTCCAGCTTGGCAATTCACTCTAAACAAAAATTTGTATTACTTATATTAAGTTACATCAATTTGCTAATTTTTAAACTTACCTGTTTATTGGCATAAATAGACAGTGCATAAAAGTTATCTGGATATAATTTTAACATATTGTCTAACATTTTATTTACATTATTATCCACATCAGGAAAATTTTCATAATGCAATTGTAAAATTGCAAGCTCACTTTCATATAACATTTCCTGCAATAAATAAAAAATTGTTATGGTAGCAACGAAATAATAATTGAATATAACAAGAGACAAAAATCAAATATATACCTGTAAATGAGATACTTCTTTGCAATGTTCTATACAACATTTATATATATTAATTATTTCATCGATATTACTATCTTTTACATACAAAAATAACGTATAACATACGATTACATCACAATATACATTTGATAAGAAAAATGTATCTTTATTTTCATTCTTATGTTCTATCTTTAAAAAATCATTGACACAATCTTTCAAGTATTTCTCGACAAGTAATAATTGATTGTCAGTTGATTCTGGTATCATATGCTTAATGACATTCAATATTTTTTCTTTGTGTGCTTCTTTGTAAGTCTCAGTATTTAATAAAGTTTCAAAAAGTGTCCTGTATAAATTAAATAAAGCAGCCTTTTCTTCGGGATTTGATATCATAGACAGAGTACAATTAGATTGAATAGCTGTCTCTAAAATATTAATACAGCTTTCAAATTTACCCATTTCTCGTTCTATTAAAGCATATTCTTTATAAAAATGTAAGTTATTTCTGTTAACATCTTTCTTCAAAAATTCTTTCAACATAGATTTTATTTTTTTCCCTCTGCAAAAAATATTGATATAATTGCAATGAAAAATGTAACATATATATTTAATCATCATTAACTCACTTATTATCGTGTTTTAAAGGATCATCTTTGTTAAGAAAAACAAGTAATCTTTCAAATCTTAACCACCATACGTATATATTACTACGTTCAAGGGATGGTAAACTATCAGCGATTGTATGAAACGTTTCACGTATAAAATCTAAGTATGGTTCTTGTGCAGGATGAAATTTAAGATACTGAGGTCCAGAAACTAAATGTCCTTCGAGTATTCCATGTATCAATGCTTTCCTCTTTTTATGACCAGCCATCTCTCCTACTGTTGGATATGCAAGTGGAAATAATACTTCTGAAGAATCCACACCCCATGAAAATTCTTTCAAACCTAAATCCTATAAGTGCAAACATTCATTTCAATGCATATCAGAAATATTATTTTAATCTACAATTATGATTTGCCTTACCTTCAACATGCAATCTCTTGTTGGTAATAATGGTACTTTTAAAACTAAAAGACTGTAAATTGCCATACGAAAATTCGAATCACGACTAATTATTGGATGTACAAAATCAGCAACATCTTCCGGTATGACAAATCTACGAGAATCTCCAACTAATTCTAATTCTTCTTTACTAACACTAATCCAATGACAATTTTCTCTTAACAATTCTGTTCTCAACCATAATTGATTTAACGGTAATCTTGACATTAATACCACTTCTTCCATTCCAACTGAAAATATTTATAAAATTAGATAATCTTCGAATAAGTTTATTTTTATAATTATAATGACGAATCAACACTTACTTAGCTTCTTTTCGTCAATAATTTTTTTAAAAATTAAGCTGTCTCTATTCAAATTAAGATTCAATATGAGATTTAAACGTATTGTTTCCCACATTTGTTCCCATAAACCAGTATGTCTTAAAAAAATTAAGCACTGGTATAGCATTTCTAATATAATAAGGAATAGTTTAGTCAAAAATATTAATAAATATAAAATACAATATTTATCAACAATAATATATAAAACATTACCTAATAATCGTTCATCGTAAATACGTGGATTTGTACGAGATCGTTGTCTTAATACACAAAAACATTTGGTATATAAATCTAAAACTTTAGGAACTGTACATATCGCTACTGAACCTTGCGTAGCCATAATTAAAGCTTGCCATAAAATAACATTTCCCGTGTCCTTGTTAACTAATGTTTCCATTTCCTTAGAAAATTCATCAGCAGGTGATATTTCTCCCATAAAACGTAACTTTAACTTTAACAAGTCAGTACAATCTAAATTTTGTTCTAAGGCTTTCTCGACGATTGATAACTTCTTTATAACCGTTGAACGTTGAATGTTCTTGCTTATTTGATTTTTTTGAAATTTAGCTAGAGTGTCCTATTTATAAAACATATATAAATAGATTTTATTATAATTAATTCTTTTACTTTATTGATACTATTATCTTTAACAAAAAAATACATTACCTGAAATTCTATGTACTCTAACCACAGTTTTATGTTTTTAGGATCTTGCATTAACTTTTCATTGTATTCTCGTGTTTTAGATGTTTGCTCTTCTTCCAAATTTGTACACCAAGATGGCATTTGTTCATTTTTATTTGGTGTGTCATTCTTTGCGATTTCCCTTTTAATTATCGTATCTTTATTTTTAGCTTTTTCTGTCGCATCAATGTTATACACATGATATCTTTGATAAGCATTTTTCTTCATTTTCTTATAAGAAACAAAACCAAGATACTTGTTTCCGACATTATAATATGGTCTTACTCTAGAACATAGCGTTTTCACTGTACCGAATAATTTATCTCGATGTTTATCTTCAAAATATATGTTAGCAACATCTCGTGCATATTCATGTTTAACTTTCTTTCTACTGCTTGATCTTCGTTCTTTTTTATGTTTTCTTGTACGTTTAGATAGTTTTTTCTTATCCTCGCTTAATTTAGTCGATTCAATGGAATTATAATAGGAATGTTTATCTTCTTGAGTAGATGCATTTGAAATAGGAACCTCGGTGGAAATAGGGAAATCATTATCCGATGAATTATCTGAAGAAATATCTACTACAAGTGTTTCTGAATGTACACATGTTTGAAAACTCGAATTTGTTAACCAGTTTGTTGATGCATTATCTATAAATTACAAATATAATTGATTAATATAAATAGAAATGTCATTTTAATAAAAAAATAATATTAACAATGACTTACCCAATTGTTGTGTAACATTGTCTTTTGTTGATTCAATTACATTTTCATTTGAATAAGCAGGAAACAATGACATTATTCTTATTTCTAGATAAACACAAATATTAATTTTAAGGTTAGGATATTTTATGCATCTTTCATGTTAAAAATGTGGTAACATGATAAATTGCATATTAGTTGATCACTGATTGGTTTTTCTCAAATGCGCGGTAATTTGTTAGAAATTTCAAAACTTGTTTGACATAATTCAAATATACAAATATATACGCACAGTTAGGACTATTTTAAAATTATTGTTTGTTATAAGAAATCTAATTTTTTAAACAAATGTATCATTAACTAATTAATGTATTAATAATATTATTCAACGAGATTTGAAGAATTGATAAAAAAGAGTTGAGAAACACTGCATTATCATTTTTAATTTTAAGTCATAATCGCTAGAGGGTGCGAATGATTTAACGATAGCAGCGCACTCTATGGAATATTACGCTAATAAAATTCGTACGTTTCTATACGTATTGTTTAAGTATATGTGAATGTATGTGTATATATTATTCGAAGAATAACTTCACAAGTAATACTTTTATATATCGGAAGGATCGTGCCGGACGAAGTCATTTATTTTAGTTTAGAAATTAGTATACGGTTAGTGATATATTCATCGTAGTTGGAAACGAATCGTATAGGTGCTTTTTCATCGTTTAACTTGATTTCATTTTTTAGAGTACTTGTTTATCGGAGACCAAGAACTAAAAGAAAAAAATGACTCGTAAGTTTTTTTTTTCTTTAATTCTTTATTTACACTTTTTAAATTATATCAATGAAAAAAAAAGAAAAATAGTGATCGAATTAAAAGGACGAATGAAAGGACATCAATATTTTCTGTATGATTTAACGTTTAATTATCCTATTGTCATTTAAATTAACAAATTTCAATACACTTATCAATAATCATCTTATAATCGATTATCTTTTTTAACTTGTTTATTATTCGTATTTTTTTTCTTTTTATAATAAATATTTATAATTAGGATGGATAAATCGCTATTTAGCGATCGCATACACATACACACGCACATTAATGATTCACTGAATTCTTTTTTAACCCTACAACGATAGATAATGTTTCTGTGGCTATTCTGAGATGTTTGGGAATTGCTTTTTTTAGTTTTAATCATGGTTACAGTTGGTTATGTTGTAATGAGTTATTGTAAACAATAAATATAATTTAATGCTAGATTAGTTGTGATTTTATTTTGTTGAAATTTATCTTTTGTTCTAACATTGAAGTAAGTATGTTGTGTATTTTCTAGAAATGTTCTAGAAAAGTTGACAAAATAATTTTGATTTAAAAAGTGATCTTTTCCAAGATTTATTGGAACATTTTTTTTTATCACGTTTCATGAGTTTAATAAAAGCATATACTATTATTTGTTCTAATGATTAATATAATGTATTTATTGTGAGATAAAATAACATCTGCGTGTACACGTATTATAAAAATAACATGTACGTTTATACAGAGTAAGATTTATGAAATGTTTAACGCAGGGGGAAATCAACGTGAACTAGCAAGAGCCAAAAATATGAAAAAAACTGTTAAAAAAGCTGCTGCCGAGCAGGACAGTAATAAAGGTCTTTCATTAGAACAGCGAAAGGCACGGTAGGCTATCCATTTTTTTTGCAAGAGTTTCGAACATTCATAAAATGGGAAAGCACAAGTTGTTGTACATATTATATATATATATACTCGATGAGTATTAACAATATGATATTACAGAGATGCGGAACGAATGAGGGAAAAACAACAAAAAAAGCAACAAGAGCAAGGAGCGAAGACTAAACAAACTGCGACGTAACTCATTAAAAAAATTATCTGTAAATTTCAACTAAAAGCAAAATCAAACTTTACCAAGTATGTTTTTAAAATTGACAATTATAAGGCATCAAGATTACATCTATTGTGGACACATAATAAGAGTACACAAGTCTTTGATCTTAGAGAATTTCTTCGTTATTCTCTGTCTGTAATATTATGATGTAAAACAGGACCTAGAGTTCTGTGTGATGTTATTTACATATTACTTGTAATAATAGCCAAAATGTATAAAACTATTGTTACATATATATCTTTATGGTCAAAGGAAATCTATTTGACTGGAGTAGATTTTAAGGATATTCATTAAATAATATGATACTTGTAGTAATAATTTTGTGTAAATTAAAACTTCAGTTATTTAATATGTTGTATAATTAAATGAAAACACAAAACGACAAAGAGAAAGGAAATGTATACTTGTCGTTTTCTTATAATAAATTATTCAAATTTATTAATATTTCAAAAACAAATTTATATCAAATTACTTTCCTTAATTTGTCCATAATGTATAGATTATAAAAAAAAAAAAAAAAAAAAAACAAAAAGAAAAAGAAAGATGATTGTAAGATGTATATATTTTGAATGTTATTATAATAACAAATTTTAGTATGATTAATAGAAAGAATTTCTAAGGGGGGGGGGCTTAACTATTTAACATATTTATATATATATATATTTTTTTTCTATATTTTATTGCACTTTCCCAAAAGAGTACACTTTTAACATATTATTTTATTGCATAATTCTGAAATTTCCTTACATATAATTACAAATATTTGGAATATAAACATTATTTCTGTTAAAAGTCAAATGATCTGATAAATGTTGTAGTGGAAGACCAAATCTTAATGCTAATATGGGAAAGGAAAGAGAAATGTTATGCTATATTGAACCACGGACGTAATGTCTAGCCTCTAAAGACCAAAAATCCTTAAGAAATAATCGTCTTATTATTTTCTTATCTCATCTTTTATTCTTTTTTTTCTTCTCTTGATGCAATTAAAAAGTCAACAATTTTACTGTTTTAATTTGAATAATCTTTAAATTATTTGTATCTATTTATATTATTATTATTATTATTATTATTATATTATAATTATATTATGGCATTTTGAATATACGAATAAGCAGAGAGATAAGTCTGCGTTTTTATTTGTTGAAAATTTGTTATACGCGAAGTACGATATTATTATTATTATTATTATTATTATTATTATTATTATTATTATTAATGTTTTTTTTTTATTGTTTTTTATGTCGATTTTTTTTCACATTTATTAAAAAACTTCACACAGTTGCACTTTAATGAATTTAATATATCGAAATGTAATTAACGCGAAATTGTTGTTAATTAATTTTATCTATACAAAATGTGAAATACAACATTTAAATGTAATAATGAAATTATATTAGCGAAATTAAAAAAAAAAAAAAAGATTTTTTTACTTTCTTTATACGGAGTACAATAATCGATTAAATTATTATTATTATTTTTTTTTTCATTTATCTATTTAAATTATACAATTAATTTTTTGCACGTAACTCGTTCGATAAAAATAAACTTGGACTTGATATGAAATCAATGCGATATTGAAATGATAAGATTACAAATGCTATCTCTATTATTATATTATTTTAAATATATAAGTGCATGAATTTAAATCGATTTCAATCAATTAGATTATTTGAGAGTATTTTCCTTTTTTTTTTTCAGATTGCTTTTAATATACATAGCAATAACGACGGATACAAAATTTGTATTATATGTTACGTTTAAAAATTATAATTAAAAAACTATCTGTGTTTGTATCTGACAATGAAAGGACTCGTGAACGCCTTATTTAAGAGTATAAATAGTATATGTTTAACATTTTGTTAATGAATAATATTTAATAACGATCAGAGAACATCGAAGAAACAATATACATATGTATGAGTAAATTAAAAAAGAAAAAAAAAATATATATCAAACGTCTTTCACTTTTACAAAGTTATGTAGTTTTGTTCTCACGAATGTAGAATAGACAATCTTTACAAGTATTCCATACAGATTTCTGATTACAGATATATAGATATCATTAATATAGATTTCATGTGTTTCTTCACTTTTTTTTTATTTTTTATTATTATTTTTTTTTTTTTTACGTTAATATCATAAATCACGTAATTATGGCATAAATATTCCCTTACTTAACTATTTCGATGATTTATCGTTTTTCATTTATATGTATATATTTTTTATTTTTTTCACGTTTTTTTACTTTTTTATTATATTTTTTGTTTTTTCATTTTTTTTCTTTCTTTCTTTCTAAAGAGACGGAAACGTTTGTGTGTGTATGTGTGTGTGTGTATGTTTGTATGTATATTAAAGAATTAATGTGGCAAACGTGTTCCACAACAAAAAAAATTACTTTTTTTTTTTTTTATGAGAAGAAGTCTGGCAGCAAATGATTTAAAAGAGAAAATTGAATTGTTGTTGGATTTTTTGTGTCTTTTCTTTTTTTTTTTTGTTTTTTTTTGTCTTTTTTTCTTTTTACGAGTTTATCTATTTATACTCTCGCCTAAACTATTATAAAACGACTTCATATTTGTAATATTAGCACCATATTTGTTTATGTGTTGTTCTCTGATGTGAATTGATTTATAATACGTATTAAGTAGGTCGATCATGATGAAGCCAGAGAGCTTTGGAATTTAGTAACGAATAATTAGAACTTAAAAAAAAAAAAAAAGAGAGAAGGACATGAGTTATATTTTTTGTTGACATTTTCTTTGACGGAAAGGATCTATCTTGATGATCTAATCCGATCATTAACAATAGGAAACATATACAGGATGTTTTAAAAATTACTTTACCTAATTGAAACGTTAACAAATTTTTGTTTGGTAGATATTTCAAATGATTGCATCGCATCATAGATTCATATATTTTTTTTCTTTTTTTTTAACAATACCTTAACTGTAAATTCGTAGATTGAAAAATGAAACAAAAATACAATATTGCAAATCTATATTGCAAATCTATATAATAAATCAATATATTTAAGAGTTTATTGTTTTACTTTTATTTTCTCGGGGTAAAGCAATTTTTTTTTTTTTTTGTAGACAGCCTGCATATGCGAAAGCTGAAAAATGTCACGAGAACATAATTATACGTATTTATATATATATATACTACAAATAATAAAAAATAATATTTGTCAAGCACAACCATTAGAGACGTGGGTTACATTATTATTACAATAATAACTATAGGAAAGTTTTCGTAAATATAATTCGATTGAAATGTAATAAGTAATTTGAAAGAAAATTGCAGACTTTTACAAAGTCGTTTTACAAAGTCTGATAACGAAATTGTTTAACGTAATAATTAGCGCGAGTAAGATTTATTTATTTATTTATTTATTAATTATTATTATTATTTTTCTTTCATTTATCAAATTCGTTCTATGCATCTTCTCGCTTTGAGCACATTTAGATGAATGTTTTTTTTATTTTTTTTATTTTTTTTTTTTTAATATAGAATTAGGAATATAAAATCAGATCTCAAGATCTGATCGAATGAGAGCTGTTGTTAAGCTATTGAAAACTTTTCTTTACTTTTTTTTTTGTAACAAGAACAGTTAGACAATTATTACATGGAATGCTTATGTTTTGTGGAATGGAAATTGTATACTATGAAATATGCTAAACAAATGCATCTTGATAATTGGAATGTATACATCAAAATAAGGACGCACGCAATGCAATATAAATCTTCGGTAGAGAAGATAGTTAAGTTTCTTATTTTTTTATCTTTTTTTGTTTACAATTATTATCATATAAGCAGAACAATACTATTTAAACGAGGAAGACAATAATAATAATAATAAATTCCCTCGC